ATTACTATAACTACATTATCTTATATCGGATATGATACACGATGATATAAATCAGTCTTTTGTACCTTCGTGCGCCGGACAGGTATTGATAGTAACTGCAATCTTATCCATGAAACGTTGTTTGCACGATTAATCACAGATGTTCGTTAGTGACTGCTGTATGCTATTATCCGTTGTAGCAGGGCTCGCTACCCGTATGGAAATCAAATACGTTGCTTTGTGTTGGGAGCAAAAAGGGGCATGAGGGACGAGTTGATGATGCGACTTGAATATATGTTCCTATCACACATCTGTCGGGGGAAATGGTGCAATTAATAGACAGTTTGTCGTGCAGGAAGAAAACACGACTCGAGTTCTGGTTAAAGCTTACCGCTACACGCATCAATCTGAGGAATGTATAACGTCATTGATTATAAAGATGTAGGTATACAGTATATGGTCGTAAACATACCTTGAAACTAACATATCTGTCTGTCTGTTATTTGTGTCCCAGCTGTCAATGTGTAACAATTCGATGGACAGAGTTGCTTCCCTTTGGTATACCAGAGACCTATGATTTGGGGTTCCATTTCAGATGTACCCATGAAGATCCGGGTTACAATTAGTCTAAGCAACTAAGCAAATGCTTGTCGTAAGAGGCGACTAACAGGATCGTGTGGTAATCCTAGCTGAGTTGGTTGACACACATCATCGTATCCCAACCGTGTAGACTGATGCTCATGATGTTGATCACTGGATTGTCTTGTGCTAACTCAATTATTTACAGACCGCCGCCATATTGGAATGTTGCTGAGTGCGGCGTCAAACAACATACGATAGATAACTCCCTTGATGCGTTTCAAGGTTTGTCAGCATTATAGGCTACCCGTGTTTGCGAGTTTCACCAACTCACTCACCACCTGCTTCTATATATCATCTAACTTTACCCGTTTGTTTCTATCCTGCCGGAGGATCAAGAAACTGTATCGCATCGTTGTGTTTCCAAAATACGTTATATACATTGTGACAATGAATCACCAATTTCAAATGCCTAGGACGGAATGTTAATAATGAAATTCGTATATATCTAAGCGTTGATTTCAGTAACAGCGTCTGCGAGTGAAAAACAGTAACTGTGCAAGAACTACGTCATCAAAGAATATAAATGCATGAATCTGAATTGTATCAAACTAATTCTAAATATGTAGTCTTGTTATTACTGTTATTGGCTACTTTCAATAAAATATATTTTTCTCTTAATTTGTTTGATGATACCGGAAGAGAATAACCAACTGTCAAAACATGGGCATATCGTATTGTCTCCTCGAACAACGGGACAATCTCGACTTTGCATTAGGGTTTCTCACATGTACACCAATTATAACACTCCCAATACCGACTTAGCATTCAGGAGACCGGACAAGGAAAAAGCTCAGCGTTAATATCGCCATGTATTTTGACGACTATTATTCAATCAATCAACGCTGATATCGATTATTGATTCCCACAATAACACGAGAAAATCAGATTGTGTCGTAGAACCATTTAGCCACTCAGGGCATCAAAATCCCTTTGACTATTAACAACCGCCTCCGTTTTCTTGTGGATGGGTGGCTGTATCCTCAAGGGGGTTAAAGGACTGCAAAATTATTGTCCTCCTGAGAGGATACGTAAGTCCCAAAACATTCAAAGTCAATTAAAACTTTCCACAATTTTAATCGTAGAATATGTGTATTATTAAAGTATGGCTAAATTATTCTAAATTGCTAACAGCTGAAGGGATGATGTAAATCCAGCTAGGGTCCATGCAGGAAGCAAATGTACAGTAAGTTCCCATGATGATCTACCTTGTTGTTGGCAATATGTAGCCTGTTTTTATATTGTATTGTCTTCTATAGTTAAAAGTTTTTAGTTTTCAAATAGTTTTATATCTATATCTGTGATGCTCTAGTTATTTAACTGTCCTTCGTTGACGGGGCTTTATGATTTGACTTTGATATTACGGCTTTATTCTAATTCTACTCCTCGTCACGACATGGCTGTAATATTTTCGATGTGACGTTAAATTTAACTCACTCACTCACTCTTCCTGCCGTAATTGTAAGATGCTTTTTGTTACCATTCCTGGCATTTGACATTATGGGGTGAAACAAGTTGTGGTCGAATTAGATACGCAAATAATGCTAGTTATGCGTCGTTCTTTTGCGTCTTTTCTTTTTTGTTTGTGCGTTCTTTTTAATATTATCTGTTTATTTGTGGTATATACACCCCCTAGGAGCGGAAGGTTGTTGGTCCATACACGGGAACGCGTCATACCATAAGATGTTAAAGATAGTCTGTGTAACACTGGGGGCGCTCTGCATAAAAGGGATTAAACAAGGGCTGGTTGGTGCGGACCACTGATGCTAATTGAGTGAAAGAGACTGTTAGAAAACCTATGTTTGAACAATTCCGTGACTCAGTATGACTATTTTACCATATATGCTATATATCAAGTCTGTTCATCTCATCATGAAACCTCTAAAACCTTAACACTCTACCCATGTGTGGAACTGAACTAGGAACTTCGACACGACAAGCGAAAGCTTTAACCGCGATGCTACCCAACCACCCAAACGAAAACATCCTCAATCTCTTCCATTACTGTTCGATCGGCGGGAACACTAAAAAACACCTTTTGGCAAAACACCAGAAAAGTGATGACGTGTTTGATATTTGGCTTAACTGCGGTAACTGAACGCAATGTAGAAATACTTCATAACCTTAAACAGTAAGCCTGTTCATATTTTACATGACCTGTTATGAAGACGATAATCAGATCGAGCATGTTAGTAACTGTTTTCTGGTAATACCTGTTGCGAGAGTAAAGCTATTCCATAATAATCTAGTTAAGACCTGCCATCGAACAATGGTGCTTGAAGTCCTATTGTTGACATCAAGATATAGCAAGCACATTATGTCAACTTCAGGAACTCTTGTGTTAGTTGGCGATTTGCGGATGGGTGGTTGCACACGTAATGTAGCTCAACACACGAGCCACGTGCAGGTAATCCTCCCAGGGTATGCGAGGATTAATGCCCACCTGTTTCAGTGTAACGCATGGAAAACATTCAAACGTCGTATGGACATTATCTTGAACAGGCGTAGCGCTGATGTTAAAGAATATCTGTCATATGAAATTGTCCATGCGCGAATGACGGAAAAGATGTGTCCTTATGACTGCAAGGTACGTTTTAGAAAAGTCCTTTCGGTGAGGTTCTTGAGAGGCGTATAGAAGTTGGTATGCAAGTATAAGAAAAAATATTATGGATTTCAACTCCTTCTTTACTGTATACACAACGTTTGCTTTTCCTCGCCCCTTCGTCAGATGAATAAAGAAGAAGTTGACATCCATAATATTTTGTCTTATAGTCCTTTCGATGTTTGGAACATGTGAATGTAGTAATGTAAATTTCCTTTTTATATGGATTCAGGTGAAAGTTGAAGGTGTGTATTACCGTTCTATACAACACTGACCGAAAATGATGGTTGGCTTAACATTCTAACGAAACTGCAGTACATATTTACATATTTATTCCTATGTTGCAGTTCTTGTGCGAATGAAATACTGGGAAAAGTATGAACATGAGTGAAATGTGAATTGTTAAGGATTACACGTAATAATGATGATACGTGGTTTCTTAAATACATGTTGATCATATAGGTAGTCTTCTTGTTAGTTAATCGTGCAAACTGCCGTAATTTTGTTCTCGATTTAGTTACGCTGGATGCTGGTTAGGTATTGAAACATTGTATTACTGTGTCCTTCATGGAACATCCATCTGGAACACCTTCAGCTGTATTGTGGTTGCCATGACATCAATTACATATCTTTCACTTTTATGAACCTATCGGCGATCGGAAACTGCAATGTTGGTGTAAATCCTTCAACAGCACTTTCAAATATGTCACTAATGAGAATAGGAAGACCCTGATTATATTAGCCACTTGAACTAACTGCTACATGTATGGGTCTTAGGTTATTTTGGGTTAGTTGTAAAACTGTAGAGACTGAAACTGATAGTTCGCTATGGTCAAATAACACCACTTTTATTTGTTCACAGCACAGCTGTCTTTAATTTGGAACTGATTGGTGGTGGTGGTGGAATTGGGTTTAACGTCGTGCTTGAGAATATTTCGCTCATATGGCGACGTGCATGCGTGTGTATGTGTATGTGCGGCTGCTTGTACTAGCCCAGACTGAAGCTGGTTTTATAGTGCTAGCCCACTGTGATACCATGCCGCAGTGAAGCATGAATACCCCACTCAGACACATTATACTGACTCCGAGCCGACCATTCCTTGATGTACCCATTAATGCCGAGCGCCAGGCAGGGACCAACAAGTACCATATTTTAACGTCTTTTGGTATGACGCAGTCGGGGATCGAACCCGCGACCTTCCGCACTCCGGGCGGACGCTCTAACCACTACACCACGCGGTCTGGAACTGATTGGATATCTACTAATCCTACATACATATCTAGTCCATATAAGTTGTGAAAGGTAGACACCGACGGCAAGAGCTGCTTAGATATTGCTCGACACGTTGGGGAAATTAATGTTGAAATACTGGTCATCCTTTGGCAAAATATACAGGATAGCTTCTGATATTCTTCGGACACTTAATATCGAGTGAGTTTACGCCGCTCTCAGCAATATTCCAGCTATATGGCTGCGGTCTGTAAATAACCGAGTCTGGACCAGACAATCCAGTGATCAACAGCATGCGCATCGATCTACGCAATTGGGATACGATGACATGTGTCAACCAAATCAGCGGGTCTGACCATCCGATCCCGTTAGTCGCCTCTTACGACAAGCATGGCTTACTGAAGATCAGTTCACTTGATACAAGAATGAATAAGAGTTTTCAAGACATTGCATGATCATCTGTGGTCATTATATTAAGTTGTCTGCCGACCTTATTAATATTAGATGTGACATATCCAAATTATTCTCATCATGCTGTTTATTTTTCAGTGGTGGCGACCTTATAACAGGTCGTCACAATGGCTCCCTCCGATGACGTCATAAGGCCACGTGACACGTTTCTCCAGATGACGTCTCCAGAGATCTACAGCAGACGTTTTTCAGAATTTGTGCGCCATTTTCATGGCGATGACTTTACGGACGCGTCTCAGCTGAGAAAAAGACTTCGATACACGACAAGCTTCAAAGGCGAGCTGGCGAAGCTAAACAAACGCAAAGAGCCCCGCCCAGGGGCGGAGCCAAGCAAAAGATACCGGAAGAGAATGGTACGTATCGGAAGTGAACCGTCGATCTTTCCACCAATCAGCATCACGCGTAGTGACATTGGTCATACTTCTCCCCCTACGTCAAATGTGTTGACAGTTCGGAGTGACATGTCAACTCCCCAAGCAACAAAAGACGACGCACCATCTCCGATACCAAAAAGGGAGACCCAGAAATCTCGAAACACCAACAACCTCTCCGTAGACGTCAGTAAGTCTCAGGAGATGGTCAGACTGTCTCCAATTGCTTTCTCTGACCGGAAAAGCAAAACTGAAGGAAAACCGGAAAAACATGCAAGTCTTACGCCTCGAGGGAGCATACCTAAAATTAACGCCAAAACAGGTCTTCTGGAATCTCAGAGGCAGGAGAGATCCAACAGCCTCACCGATTCACAGAATAAAAACGAAAGGTCAACCACGGAATCGCCGCATCGACACCGAGGAAAGGGAAAGCACTCCAAATCGAAAGTTTTAGAGGAACCATTTTCTGTCCGACGTAAGATAGAGCAGTACAGGCGTTGGCACGAGGAACAATACCTGCAAAAACTAAAACGTTTAAAGCAAGACACGGACAGTGAAGAAAAGGATACTCCGAAGACAGATGTCAGTGGGAATAAAGAATCTGGAAAGAGGCCAGAAATCGATCTGGCTAAAATCCTGGAGGAAAAGTCTCTGGCTGTGACTGTTAAACCAGTCCGGACGATAAAATCTGGAGATGAAAATAACAACAACATTGATGACACAGTTATTCCAGATATTACACAGCACAAACGTTCACATAGACTAAAGTCGGGCTGTACGTGGAAAACGTGGCGTAACGTTAACGAATCCGACGCCTATTCAGACGTTAAAAAGTACATCGAAGACAACGAACTGATGAACTCAGAGAAGGAAAGTTGGATAAAGGCTTGGATTTGTGAAGTCGAGAGGGCTCTGTGCACGACAGACTCTCACAGTGAAACGGATTCTGTGTGATGAGGGCATTTACAGCCACGTTGTGTCCGAGATTTGACGTTACTGAGATAGTTACCAGCTAGAGACAACACACTACACGTCAGTGAAACCGCGTTAACCTACCGTGTCCGGATCATGATCCATGGAGTTATATCCAAATATTTCTATATTTGTTCCCCTGACCGAAACTGTCCGGAATGTGGTTTCCCGATTTTACAGGGTTCAGATTAACGAGGTTTCACTGAATCCTGGTTTCAGGAAATGTGTGTTGTCAGTCAGCATGGAGAACAGATTCAAGTATGTGTTATGATCTCATCTTGCAGAGAAGGTGACTTGGTTGTTGAAAGAGATATTTTACGAGTATGTATAAATTATATTATTTATTTTCAATAAATGCGTGATGGATAGACTACATATACCCTTCTTTGTCCAGCCAGTTTACAGATTAGGATTATCCTTCCTTTTCCCGAATATTACGAAGGGGTAGTATAGGGCGAACTGTGACGTCAGTCTGGAATTAAAGTCTGGAATTATTCTCACGGTTCTGCTGCTCAATTTGTTACTCAGACTAGGACATATATACAATAGTCGATGTATAAAGCCCCATGGAATTAACGTTTTGAAATGGGACTTATGGTTAACGAAAAAATTCTTTGCTTGACATGCTGATCTCTTAAAAAATACAATGACCTAAAAAGTACATTGGCCGAAACAAAATTTAATGTGCCCTGTCCCCAATGAAAAATCGTCGACCCCATAGAAGATGTATCCAGTTGAAACGAAAAAGAATATCTGATGAAGACGTTTAATACTTCGACGAGGTGAAGACTCTAATAATTCTAGCTAAGCTATGAGTAAAAGTATGAAATCAAATTCTGCTCATAACTCATGCCATAAACGAGAATAACATAATTTTAATTATAGGGCTTACTCTGACGTGAAGATCAGAGGACACCTCCAAATGCCGTAGGGTCAGTTGAACTTTCTGCTGAACTTTCAGTTAAACTGCGTCAAGGCTTCCGTATTCCGCATTCAGACAAAATACTGATTTTGGGTATTTTGCAAACGAAGATAATCGAGCAGTTCCGAATAACAAAGACAATAGAGCGTTACGCTTTACACATCATGTCGCTTCTGAGAGTGATTTCAACAACAACACGAGTGAACTATAGGGGGGGTATTTGTGATTTGTGGCGGTTTTCTTTCGCTAAGATCGAAATTCCCGATGGATGCGGTTGAGAAATGCAGCCAAATCGTTCCCCATAGCTGATATCTGATTGGTTCAGGAACCTATATTTTGACTGAACGACCGACGTTCTTTGACAGTTTACCTGACGCGAGCACTTGTAGGGATGTTCTCATATCTTGACGCAGAGGCGTTCTAATGGGGTCTAAGATCTGATTTTAGAGATTGCAAGCGAGATAGGCTGAAGGAGATATTTTGTCGTGTTAGTTCCATGGTACCGTTTGTACAAAGAGCAATAAAATATCGACTCAAATTTTAGGAATCAACCCAATTTCATTTTCATCCATGACTATGATACGTATCTGGTTGCTCAACAGGCTTTCCACAAACTTTCGAAACTTGCCCATATTGCAGTTGAGATAAGTTGAGATTTCTGATGGTATCGAACTCGCTTGTGACAAGATAAAAGAAAAACCCGTAAAGTCTTTCAAAGCATAAAGCCAGCTTTTCGTGAAAGTTGGGTTTTTTCGTATCCGAGGTCAAGTGTACCATGGAAGATGATCTTAGTATTTGGTAACCTCGATGTACACTTCCAGCTAAGAATTACCACTTACATGACGTCGGGAAGTGAGTTTTAATCCACCTGTTTTACAACTTGTTAATATGTCCTGTGTTGAGATGAAAACAGAAATAGAAGCTTTCACGAAAATGAGTTTGTGTTGTTATTGTCTACATTGCAAATGTTTGTTGTTGTTGTTGTGGTAGCCTAGTGGTTATAGTGTTCGCTCGTCACGCCTAAGGCCCGGGTTCAATTCCCCATATGGGTACGAAGCCCACTCACTCACTCATTTTGTTTTTGGGGTGCTGTTTTTAAATTAATACCTTGCTTCACACATTGTACCCTTGTGGGGATTCGAACCCGGGTCTTCGGTGTGACGAGCCAACGCTTTAACTACTAGGCTACTCCACCGCCCCCCTTGCACTTTGAGCCTTTGGCACACGTAGTCAAAAATACACAGTAATAGTTCCCTATCTGGTAAGATATGACACTCTCGCAAATCAATCAGAGGTATAAGTGGTCGAATCTGGACGAGGAAAACCAGTGGTCGACAGGATGACGAGCAATCAGCCACAAAGCCGACGACCCTTCTATCGTCCAGAACCATCAGCACTGGAACATCGAATATGAGGACCATGTTCGGCTTGGAATCCTCAGGGGAAAGAAGCAGAGGCAGGCCCCAAAACACATGGAGACGTGACCTCGATGGTGATAGAAAGAAACCAGCTGGAGAGGAAAACCCAGGACGGGGGGGGATCTGGAGATCTGTAGTATACGGCCTATGCCCCACGAGGGGTGTCAGGTCTAAGTAAGTAAGTAAGTAATTTCAAGATAATATGGGAGAATACCCTGAAGTGACACAAATCACAGACGAGCACAAGAATCAAGGGCGGGAGTACATTCTGTCAGGGGACACAACTCTGGGTTTCGGCGCCTAATGCCACTCGACCGGTCGTGGCCCTCTTCAAACGATAGGGGTATATTTAGATGAACGTGTGATAGAAAACAGGTCTTAACGCTACGACTATCTAAATGTCTATAAATCAATGCAGGCTTAGATAGACGAAGATAGGATTGCTTTGTGGCACGAGACTCGGATTATCTGTCAACCAGAATCGCTACTCGTAGATCCTCTTGCTGGGCACACCTTTCATATATTGGAGGCTCTTGTGATAACTTTTTCACTGGTACAAGTACAGATAACACCAGCACCAACAACGACACTTGCCACTTGTAAATCTTCAAACTCCAAAACGAGCAATGTCAATGAATGCATGGATAGACAGATAGATAGTTGAGTGAGTGCGTTTAGTTTTACGCCGCACTCAGCAATATTCCATCTATATGGCAGAGGTCTGTAAATAATCGAGTCTGGACCAGACAATCCAGTGATCAACAGCATGAGCATCGATCTGCGCAATTGGGAACCGATGACATGTGTCAACCAAGCCAGCGAGCCTGACCACCCGATCCCGAGATAGATGATAGATAGATAGATAGTCCTGCTGAATGATATGAGGGCGGTCTGGACCAAGCAATCCAGTGATTGATATATGATGTTCCCAATGTGCCTATAGTTCATTCTGCCTACAGTCTTATCAAAACAACTTTATTGATAAGTGGTTTTGAAGTTCAACCATCAACAGTAATGAACTAGTCCACTATGCTAAGTGACTGTGCTTTAATTAATCTGATACATAGAATAACAAACAGGACTGGTGTTATATTGTTTTATTTATTTCGGGGATGCGTGTAACATTAACAATGTCAATTAAATAAATATTAATGTTTTGCACATTCTTAAGCACACTGACAATAAGTTGAGAAATTGTCGAGAATTTAACACATTTCACAGAGAAATTAGCTTAAAGCTTTTGACACAGTTGTTAGAGGTTTCACAGAGTGAGTGAGTTCAGTTTTACGCCGCTTTTGGCAATATTCCAGCAACATCACGGCGGGAGACACCAGAAATGGGCTTCACACATTGTACCCATGTGGGGAATCGAACCCGGGTCTTCGGCGTGACGAGCGAACGCTTTAACCACTAGGCAATCCCATCGCCCAGAGGTTTCACAGAGTCTTAAGCCAGCTTGAGCAGGTGTCCAGCTGCATCCAGGAACTGCAGAGGAGATTTTCTTCCTTTGACGAAGTGTTGCTTCAGTCTATGGATAGATAGATAGACTGACCAGTTCACGGTAGATTCGTGGACGGCGACGGACTGCAGCTCCATGGTCGGACTGGGTGCGTTTCTCTCGATTAACCTTCTCGATCTTCTTGATCTGGGACGCAAACTCATACATACGTTCGGATGAGCTTTCTGGATTCTGTGTTTCATTCTGCTGTGGAAGCACTCTAAGTACTTCTCGGTCCTTGGACCTTGGACCCATGAGCCAGGTCAAAGCCGTCGAGACACAATAAACACCACCAACCAAGCTATTCTAATCTGGAATCGCCCAAGTCATTTGAATGCATAGGGATTATCATTTTCCTCTGCAATCCATCTTGATAGAACCAGGTGATCTTTAGCCAAATCCCGTTGTTGTATGTTAAATATTTGATGAGGTGAAATAAAGTCATGACATGTCGTGATTCAAGATGCTCACTGTTTGAGGTTCAGCGTTTTTTTACCAACTGCTTAAAGACGCAGTGTTCAAACCGTTCATGTTTACAATTTGGGTGTTCTTTAACCCACACTGAATATTCCAGGTATGTGAGCGCTACCTGGAAATAATCCATCGCGGACCAGACAACCAATGGAATGAACACAGACATGAAACACCCGATGTATTCAGTTATCTCTGGGGCGGTGATGTAGCCTAGTGGTTAAAGCGTCGTCACGCCGAAGACCGTCGAATACCCCGCATGGGTACAATGTGTGAAGAAGGTGTCCCCGCCGTGATGTTCGAAATTGCTAAAAGCGGCGTGAAACAAACTGGGTACAAGTTGTGTTGCCTGGGGGCGGTGGGGTTTCTAGGTTAAATCCCACACCAAAGACCCGGTTCGTCATGGGCCCAAAGTGTGTGAAGCTGCGCCGTCATACTGCTGAAATGTTGCTCGAAGCAGCGTTAAACCATACTCACAAAATCATAGGTTGTCCGAGATCTATTATTATCCCATTTGGCAGGTTAACCCATTGTCAGGCCGCTTAACGGGTGCAGCTGTAGCTTTGTTTATGAGCTGAAGAGTTATCTGCCTTTGTCTGTAAAATGATTTGCCACTTAGCCGGTACATTATATCTCTTGTTGGACGTATTTGCAGTCAACTCGTTGGTGTAGGGTAGCTACACAGGTGATTATACCTCACGGTCTGGTGCTTCGTCTCCTTCAAGGCTATGTGGGCTGAGATAAATTATCTGTGACATTTGATTCAAAACCCTTTACCATGATTACTTGAAGACACCATAACATGGTCCCTGTTAACTGCAAGGCTAACTTACATGGTATATGAGTAATGACATCATGTTACTTCATTTGGGTATGGATGGGTGTCTAAAATATAATCAAATGGAAATACATCATGTTGCCTTGTAGGGTAAATTAAAATGTGCTCAATCATTGAAGTCTCCAAAGATCATTTTTCTATTTGAAATAACATAAGCACTTGTTTGTGTATGAATAAAAATAATTGACCTGAACATGAAATAAAATTGCTGATCTGAAATTATTATTCTTTTCACTACAAATTATTGCTGCACATCAAGCCTGTTAAACAAACAGTTATTAATTGGTTCAAGATATGAAGCAATGTAATGTTTTTCCGGTACTGTTTTTGTAAAATGTAATTCTTGTCCATATTTATTCTATACCAGTCTTTTTACACAATTGAATAATCTAAATATTGAATACTATAGGTTAAGGACTTTACACCTGCACTTGTGAAAACAATCATTTCGAAGTAAGAATATATAAAAACTCTTGTGATGGGACAAAACAGAGCAAATGGTCATTTCCTACTGTGCTTGAGAGGGTGTAGTTGTCTGGATTGATTGGTTGGTTTGTTGTTTAACGCCATACTCACCAATATCTCAGCTATATGGCAGCAGTCTGGATAATAAGTCTCGACCAGACAATCCAGTGATCAACAGTATGTGCATCAATCTACACAATTAGGATACGATGACATGTGTCAACCAAGACAAGGAGCCTGACCATCCGATCCCATTAGTCACCTCTTACGACAAGCATGGGATACTGAAGACCAATTCTAACCCGGATCTTCATGGGTATGGTTGTTCTGGAAGATCAGCTTCAGCATGTACATGGGAGGTTACAACAATCAGCACTGTGGGATATACTTTTAGGGAGGCTGCGTGGTATGGCTGAACGATGGTTAAAATGTTATATCTGGGACTGCACTTTCTTAGTAAAACACAAAGTACTAATCCCTTTTTGGCTGGAGTCTCATCTGGGACTCTAACACACACTCTTTGAGTGGGACACCAGGCTCCGATTTCTCGAAAAAAAACTTAAGTTTTTACTCAGATTTAAAACTGAGTTTGACAATTTGAAACAGCTGAATTTTTAACTCAACTGCATTTTTAAAATACAAAAGCCCAAAAAATTAAGTAATCTATCCACCAAACACAAATTGTCTACTAAGTTCTGAGTTTAATATCGACTTCAGTTCATTCTGGGAAATGCATTTTGATGCGTTTTCTCAAATTTGAGTAAAAACTCAGACTTAAGTTTGTTTCGAGAAATCGGGGCCTGATCACCAGCATATAAAGTCAACTATCTAACCCACAGTGGGACTGAGGATTCAACAAAAACAGGGAATAAGACGACAGTTAATGTAAACCATATACTGTGTACCCCTCATACAAGAGTAAGATGGCACTGCTCCCAGATTCACAGGCTCTGTCATCTGACTTAATCCTTTGTAGCTGCATAGAGGCAATGCTATTAAATCAGTGTTCACACTCAGCCACTCAGGTTGTTTATATGCTCCAGACTTGATCTCACATCTTAAAAAAACATGTGTGAAAGGCTCTACTCTTTAAACCCTGCTTTATAAAACTATCCCAACAGACTGAAACTAACAATGGTGAACATTAATGATTGCAACTTCTCTCTCATTCAAAGTACACTTTAACAGAAAACAAAAGGTGTCCTTTGTATACCTTTTAATACAGAAATATACACAGTAAAGACTCCATTTTGATACTCTTAAAATATAAATGCAGATAAGGTAAAGCTTCAAGTCAGCATTCACACGCAATATTAACACTGTACAGAGAGTGCCATAAAACCAACATTCAAAGTGACTGAGATAGTTTGGAATAAATCCACAGCCATATCATGTCAGCTTGATGCTTGAGTAAACACCAGACTGATTCAGATCTTCAGACCTTTCACACACATACATTTGAGTTGGTGCTCACAAACCTGGACACAATCATGGCAAGTCTCTGGAGTCAACGCATCTTTCTGGTACACCTGAGGGATGCAACCTGCACAGTCACCTTCAATGAGGCGGACACCAATATATGAATACGTGGAAATTCTCTGATGGTAAACAGTGGTCTCATTAGTGGCCCCAAACATCAATTCAGGCAAATCTGTAACATCACATAAGTCTCCATGTATTCTGGTAAGCCCATCTCTGTGTGTTTGTGCTAAGTCAGCATTATTCCAGCTATCTCCTAGCCTCAAACAGACCAAGCTGGCTGGTGTACCACTTTAGCCATACTATGACATCTTCCTGTCCACATCCTGTCTCAGTCTCTCCACCGATGGCCACACTGCATGTTGCAGCACTTGTAGAACGTTGTCATCGGCTCATCAGCTGACCTGGTTTGTATCTGCATGAAGAATGCCCGAGGATGGTCACACTTTGGACATTTTTCTGAAAGACAAGAGATGGAAATTTGATGGGACTCTATTATGAATGATCATAACTACCATACTTGAAATCTGACTTATGAAGGTCATAATACTAAAATCGCTAAATGAATGCTACCTCTTGGTGCCATTTATGCACGTGGTATGATATGGTCATTTTATGGTCATTTCAGCTGGGGGTACATAAGAGTTGACATTTCGATGATATAGAGTGTGAGATAATGATCTGACAATACAGAATCAAAGAGAAAACTTAAACACAAATAACTAAAAGGCCATGAAAACTGAAGAAGACAAAACATTTTCTTGTCAACATAGTTACAGTTATGGGGATATTCAAACAGGAAAGCATATGCATAGAGGTAACTATGGTTTCTGAAAATATATTGTTTTCTTTACCTAGTTTTTATCATATAAAGCAGAATATTTTAAGCTGCACAAATTCAAGGAAATTTTTATGTAACTGATAATTTTACATCAATAATAAGTAAACAATTGTAAAACATAAATAAATAAAAACATAACTGTACTATATAGCAAAAATATCGCCAACTTCAGAATATTTGAAGAGGCGTATCAGTTCTTTAATGATCTACATGAGAACTTCATGAAAATGTGTTTATTAAAAACAAAATTAAAAATCAGTGAATCTTTAAAGTGGTGCTTTATAATCCTGTAATTCAATGATTTATGAATTCATATTAATATGTTTGCATTTATGAAGGTACAATACTAAAGTGGTATGCATAATGTAAAAATCTGCATTATGCAACAACATGGTGAAGTGAAATCATCAGAATACTTATGTCAATGACTTCACTGAATGCTTATTTAATCATTAAAAAACAAAAACGTAGAACAAACAAATTTACACCAAACATGGAACTAAATCTTGATTGTTCTCTATGCTCCTACCCTTTTTAGACAAAACACTGAGTCGCAACGGTAGAGAAACTTTGCCAGCAGTCCGTGCACGACGTCGAGATGTGCCATACTTTTCCTCAATAGATGCCAGAAACTTGTCCATCAACTCCGACATTGTTGATGAGAAGATTCCCTCGTTCAAAACAACACACTGATCTGATCACAAGCTGGACTGCTCATAAACACACTTCACGTCCTTCTAACTGTTTGATATCACAGTGCACAATCTCCATCAAAACTTAGCATGCTATCTTCTTTGGAACCAGATCAAAATAGAACAACAACACTGACTTCAAGAACACAGGAGGACCACCTCAGAGGGAAATTCCTGGTTCAGCATACAGGACATAGCAAACAGATTCCAGGCGAATAGCTACACAATCCCATACACACCTCAATATATCCAGAGTTTCAGATCCTCCATAAAGTTTTTGCCTTTAAGACCTGTTTCTGTCACTTCAGCATGAAAGCAATTCCTAAGCCGGTCCATACAACACATTCTTCTGTTGTTTCTGTTCAGCCCAGCAATATTCCATATATCAAATCGCAATTCTCAATCTAAACGTCAACCATATGAATACTCCTACAAAAACGTCAGCCTCATTTACATATCATATTACTCATAATCGATCCAAGTTCAATGTAGCCATTAAATAAATTCACAGCCATACACCCTTTGTATATTTGTAACAATGCTCAAAGAAACCGAAATGCTAAGATGTACGGAACACTTTGTAGCAGAGATCTGCTGTGTTTGCCTTCTGTAGAGGGTATTAGTCTGGATTATACTTCTTGTAAACCTGTATTATCTACCTATTTCCTGTGAAATGTTAAGCCGATTGTACTCCAAGTGATCGAGATCAATATACAACTGACAACTCTAATCAGTTAGCCATTACTCTGTCGTCTGCTGAAAGGCCGCCATTGTGCCAGAGTGTACAGACGTCTGCTTTTTCAGACGCTTTTCAGATTATATAAAGCAGCTTTGGAAATAATGAGTGACATTTATGATCAATGATAAGTCTTTTCCAACTATGTCTACCAACAAATCATCAACACACATACATTTGTGACCTCAAGCATTACCAAGTTACAGGTAGAGGTCAGACGTTTCTGTTCAGCTCAAGCAATGTGCGAAATATTCTTCAATGGGGTATTGTAATCACTGGGTAGTGTCACATGTATCTCATGAAGCCTGAGAGCATCACTTGATCTTTATAAAACAGTCTACCGAACATGTCAAACATAATAAAATGAACATTCTCCACATTTCAATGAATAAATGGTTCAGCTAATACAACTGCTGTGTCTTAATTGGGGTAAATTACAAAAGTTATCATAGCCAAATACTAACAAGTGTCCAACGTTATATTTACTTTTATACACTTTTGAGCATTACCATCTTATTCAATCAATTATTGTCAATAACCATTTAGTCAATTATGAAACCCATTATGTGCCGCACTCTGATGGGACACAGGTCATGCCATTGTTGTAATATTTGAACAGTGGAAACTGAAAATCATTTTCTTTTTGCAGGTTACTTTTTAAGATACTGTTTTATGTATTTTATTGGCACCAGAATCCTCCTTGTTACCTTAATGTATTCAGAAATAATTACTCCAGCCTTACTAAAATTATACTTTTGCAGGAAAAAAAGTTTATATTTGAAAATCATCTTGTCCTTTTATTGTTTCTTACCCATTTTCTCACCATGTGTGTACTGTCAATTTATTTGGGTGTATAAATTTGTTTATTGATGTAATGTGGGGCGGTGGGGTAGCCTAGTGGTTAAGGAGTTCGCTCGTCACGCCAAAGACCCCTGTTCGATTCTCCACATGGGCATATTGTGTGAAGCCCATTTCTGGTGTTCCCCGCCATGATATTGCTGGAATATTGCTAAAAGCGGCGTCAGACCAAACTCACTCACTCACTCATTGATGTATTGATAGTGGCTCAGAACTTTGTCCAAGACATTTAAGATATGCCTTTTTAAAACATATTCAATGATTTCCAAGATCACCTTCGTATGTTCAAAGGTGTGACACTTTAATAATCTACTTCTACTTAACATTCACGCTCTGGTCTTATACCTTTACTTTCAGCCCCTCCAAAAATCTGGCGGCAGAATCATTTTAGGAATGATTTAATCCTTGTCATGTGTCTTGGCTACATAAGCCTTGATCGAGACTGACTTAGAAGGTCAGAGAGTCATGTCTTACCTTCAGCCATGTAGGGTTAGGTTCCGTAGACTATTTTCATCTATTTTACTTAAAAAACACATCAATATATGGTCTCAGATTGTTGACATGGAAATGTATGTTTGAGTTACTAGTGAGTGAGGCAATCTTATAGTAAGTGAGTTTGGTTTAACACCAACAAGCATGGAATAATGTGCATATATTCCCCCAAAGAATCTTCACAGTGGCAGAGATCTATACATGGCTGGCATTTATCTAACACACTGTATGTAAAGCGCACCCACCATACCAACCCAACCTAACCACACACACACACACAAGTTCTCATTTACAAAAATGTGTACCCATATTTTACATTTGTTTTGGATTGTCTGGTCCAGACTAGATTAAATATAGACTGACGCCATATAGCAGGAATATTGCTGAGTGCACCGTTAAACAAACGAACCAACTATAACTGTAATACAGTAGACTGTATTTTGATACTACATGCTAATGCACCCAATCCTATCCCCAAGTACCACACCGTCTGGTCAACACTTGATTTTTTACACACCACCAACATATAGCTGGAATATTGCCGGTTGCAGCGTTAAACAACAAACAAACAACACCAAGTATCACAACAGTCTGCAGTCCAATGTATCGTTACACCAGCCCGCTATTTATTCTTTGAACAATTTTTCTGAGATAGCAACCTGAAGCCCTTATGTAATTGTAGGTTAATTCTCAACTACCATACGTCAGGCGACCCTCTTCACTTCTGTCTGCGTTTACATAATATTCCTTATCTCAAATACTAAACAACTTGCTTGAATGCTTTTAAGCCTACTTCAAAGAAATGACTCACAGACCATAGCATTTGATACTGATATGTTTTCATGCAATACAGCCATAAATACGGGCAATAAACACTGTATACTGCACACCGGAAGCCTATGCCTAGTTATACATGAATGCAGGGCAAAGAAGTGTTGGTATACTGGCTGTGGCAAGCGTAAAGTACTTATAATGACAGCACTTGGTTTTACAAAGAGTTAGATACATGTAAAGATACGCTTGAATGAGTGAGTGAGTTGTGTTTGATGCTGCTTTAACCAGAATGTCAGTTATGTGGAAGGGCTAAGGTGACCGTGACTCCCATACCTTAACATAGTAAGTAAGTGTGTTTAGTTCTACGCTGCACTCAGCAATATTCCAGCTATATGGCGGTGCTCTGTAAATAATCGAGTCTGGACCAGACAATCCAGTGATCAACAGCATGAGCATCGATCAACGCAATTGGGAACCGATGACATGTGTCAACCAAGTCAGCGAGCCTGACCACCCGATCCCGTTAGTCGCTCTTACGACAAGTATGGGTTACTGAAGATCAATATTCTAACCCGGATCTTCACAGGTAACCATAAACTTTAGGCAGTCTTAGAGCTAAGGTTGATTTATACAAAGGCACCATGGTGTTTATCCAAGATTCTCATATAAGATGCTCAGGTGTAAGGGAAAAAATGGTTATTTCTTACAAAATTGGATTGCATCTAGTTCATATTTTTGTGAATTTAGGAGTGATTTAAAATTGAATTTTCAGATTTCAATCGATGTAATAAATTTACTCTAAGTATTAATACATTATTATTGTTGTTGTTTTTGGTCTTGTTTTCAGTTATCAGTGAAATACAGCTTATCATAACAGAGCCATACAACTGTCATCAGAAGATGACATATCCCCTGGCCACCACATATTTGAAAGAACAAATCATCTGACAGTTACTTAAAGTCCAACTTGATGAGAAAATTTCTGTCTGATCTGTCCATCCATTTCTAAGAGTAGTTATAGGGCTATCAATACAATAACATGGAATTAGCTTCGTAACTTTGTACGTCTGTGACAGGAGTGAATTGAGGCATTTTTAATTACAATTTGACAATATTTACTGACATCCATAAAAAACATAGGGTTGAATTCGGACCTCAGGTCCTGATAAATCCCTGTATATTGAGTGAGGTCAATGTGAGGTGAAAACCAACACAGGCAGGTCTCATACGTTTAGTGAATCAAGGGATCATAATCAGAATGGATATGGTATTAGGAGCCTAACCTGACATAAAAATAACTGTGGTTCCAATCACCAAATCAACCCTATAAAATGTGTCGGACCCAAAAGTATATACACTAAGAATTAACTTGAGCAACATTTGCTCTGCTTTTTCTCGATTGCCAGTTTCCTAACTGCAGTGGAACTTGTATAAATGCACATGAACATTGGACACTTTGAAAGTGTCATGCAACAGTTTTTCAAAATTTTCAAAATCTACCATTCATGAGGTTTGGAACTTCTAACATGTGTTTTACGATCGTACCACCTAAAGTCGTGACTGACAACAACTAGGACTGGAACTAATAATAGTAATGATGAACGTGATTATGACCTGATACCAGCAAAGGAAGATACCTATTAATCAGCCACACTAGCAGCAGTGTAATGTAAATCTAAATGTGTTTTTATGAAAAGAAAAATAGAAAAATTAATGGTTTACCAAAGCATGCATGTCTAAAATTTAATTCCAAGACTAACACTTTGACTTTCTTGTGTTGTTCTACACAACCTGCACATGTCAGACAGACTTTGCAGATAATACTTCAAATTTTAAACAGAAATGCCTGCCTACACATTATCTAAATGTGGGACTTACGTATTTCAGAGAAATTCAACCAGACAATACAAATTCTAAAACATATTATTAATATATATATAATATTAAATGGCTTGGGCTCCTTAAATATTGGGTTGGCTTTTTGCTTTTACCAATGGCTACCTAGAAAATAAGACTTACTGAGCAAATGACAGTTTGGTCAAATATTAACTTTGAGGGCTATATTTCCAAAGAAAATATAAAAAGGTGAGAACTTTTAAAATTTCATAAGTGCAAAGTTATAAAATACGAACATATAATTCTCAAATAAAAAACAGGAAATGATAACATACAAATTTTATGAATTTAATGCAGTAGTTTGTTAAATGAAGACATTTACCTGTCTCGCATGTCAATATACATCAGATGTTCTTGTAATGTTCTAATAAGTAACCTCATCAAAGATGTTCTCCCAAATATGTTAATGCCCAATTTGAACAAAATGTTGTTCAAGTTTTTAATAGGTGATCACTTTTTCAAACAGTCTGCAAGCATTTTGTCATCTTGTACATAATAGGACTTAAATTCAGCCACTTCCAAATCAGTTAGATCTGTTCTATTAAGTGTTTGTAAAACAATCATGGTTATGATACCTCTGTTTATTATTTCTTACTAATTATTAATAAAAATAAAGAAAGTGATATGCTGAACCATGTGTTAGACAGCAAGAGCTGACAAGTTGTCAAGAGTTATCTCCCTTATGTCATCTTTCCCATTTCCATCATGGGGGTGATGATGATTGTTACATTATTATTGAGAAGCATGTTCAATGTGAATGCCCCCTCCCCTCCATAAAATATTATGTACAAAGTAAGTGACCCCCCTGCATGTCATGCACAAAATCAATGACGACCCCCTGGTACGATTGACGATGCCCCTATCTCCCAAGAACAAAATGGGAGACCCCCCCTTAAAATCATCATCAACCCCACTAGCCATTAATTATGAGCGGACCCTAATCATGCTGCCCATAATTTTTAACTACATGTATACATTAATGACTTTTCAATTTCTGTATCCATGAATCATAAACCTAAAAACTGGATAAACCTAAATCACATGTACATGAATCAAATGTCAACAAATGGTTTCTTATCTAGGACAATCGAGAGTGGTTGAGTGTTTTAAGGCCACATTACGGAAGTGATCAGGTTGGGTCAGCAAAGCGGGAACAAGGAATTCTATGAGAAGGAAAACCCTGGACACTTATGGCAGTCTGTTGCATAGTAACCAAAACAGGCTGTAAATAACATAGCCATATTTTCCCTAGGTGGAGGTGAGAGTTGTCATGGAACTATCATATTTTCCTTGTTGGACAACCAGGCAATACTGACACGACTCAAAATTATATTCAGACAAGATATGCACTAACGTAAATCTGTTGTACAAAGTAAATCTGAACTGAATGGGGTGCAATGGTAAGGAATCAAGGGTTGTTTTACAGAGGCCCAGATAAGCTGCGTATCCGGGTAAAATATGCATAGAAAATTTCCAATTACGCATTGAAAAATAATTGTTGCGTACCAATTACGCATTTAAAATGTTAGATACGCAAAAAGTTTAAAACAAATGCGTACGGAATATATTTATAAAAATAGCTTGCGTAATGAAAAAGACATTGATTGCTTTCAAGTTGTACTGTTAGTATAGGACAAGTGTTGTACTGTCAGTACAGGATGAGTGATTTTTTTATGAAATCATTTCCATTATATTTAAGTTGGTTTTGATTAGGTATGACATAAGGCAGAACATACCTGCTTAGTAAACTTACTCAATGACATAATACTTAGGTGAGTAAAATGACTGAAATACTCACATATTTGAAAGCAGTGGGTAACGGAAAATGAAATACCCACTCAACATTCATAATACCCACTCCAAAAAATACATTGGGTACAGTACCCACATGAGCTAAATCTTATCTGGAGCTCTGGTTTTACTTGACAGTAGAGCGAGGTGGAATAAACTTCACCTAGCCCAACAGAAATGTTACCAGCCACAGGACACTGGACAAGGAGCTTTCAGAGACTTGTAGTATCTGTTTATTGTTCTCATAGAGCCATCTAATACACGAAGACAAAGCCATCAGACAAACAAAATTAAACACAATAGACATCTGGTAGGACTCTCTGAAGAACAATGGTAGTACAAGAGATATGGTCCAGACAAAGAAAACAATATGAACAGGATCAAAGTCAAACTCGTTGCCAAGGAAACACAAAATAAACCCTACAAATCTGTTAAGACTGACTGACTGAGTTTGGTTTTACGACGCTTTTAGCAATACTCCAGCAACATCATGGCGGGGGACACCAGAAATGGGCTTCACACACTGTGCCCATGTGGGGAGAACCGGGTCTTCGGCGTGATGAGCGAACGCTTTAACCATTAGGCTACCCCACCGCCCCAAATCTGTTAAGAGCAATGGGCACCAGTTTAGAGCATGGTCTTTGTGAGTGCAAATGTTCAAGAACATAATGAAAGAATAGCAGGAAGTCTCAGAAATATACATGACATAGTGTGGACAAACATACCAATATGAACTGAATCAACATTAAACGTCTTGCCATGGAGGGGCAGGGGGGTAGCCTACTGGTTAAAGCATCCGTTCGTCAAGCTGAAGACCCAGGTTCAATTCCCCACATAGGTACTAGGGCTGTAACGATGCATTGAGCTATCGATGGATTGGAATTGTTGAGCCTCCGATAGCAATTAATCAGTGGTGGAAACGAAAAACTATTGATGCATTGATAGTACGTGTGACTATCAATAGTTTAGTAATTGACTTCCTTTAATAAATGCACAGTGCAAAATACAGGATATTTGGGTGCAGACTTGCAGCTTCACTGAGTTTATGCTTTAACTGTTTACTTGATCTGTGTTTCAAGTTTCTTGTCAGTTATTAGAAGAGACTGAAACTACTTCAAATTGTTTTTATTTCATATAAACTATACATTCATTTGAGAAATTACTTCAAATGAGACAATTCAAGGAGAGAAAAACTATTGCAATAGTATTACAATAGTTGGTCACAATTGACTATCACTATCGCAATAGTATGTTGCAATAGACTATGGCTATCGCAGTAGTTGTTCCCCCCTCAATAGTCACCCCTAATAGGTACAATGTGTGTATCCCATTTCTGGTGTCCCCTGCTGTGATATTGTTGGAATATTGCTAAAAGCTGCATAAAACCATACTCACTCACTCACTCTTGCCATGGAAGCAAAATAAAAACAATATACACATCCCTAAATGGCAGAAGGTACCAGTTTTCAACCCAGTCTCTGTGTGTGCTAAGTATCATTTACGGACAACCCATTTCAGGATATGACAAAAGATTATTACAGATGGACAGACTAATGGATGACTGACTGACTGACTGACTGAGTTTGGTTTTACACCGCTTTTAGCAATATTCCAGCAATATCACGGCGGGGGACACCAGAAATGGGCTTCACTCATTGCACCCATGTGAGGATTTGAACCCGGGTCTTCGGCGTGACGAGCCAATGCTTTAGCCACTAGACTACCCCACCGCCCCGACTACCCCACTGCCCCGACTAATGGATGAACAGACGGACAAGCTAATTAATTATGACAACCTATATTACACAACAGGAGACAAACACAATTTGAGGCCCTACCTGCTGTAGAGTCAACATTCTCCCAGGCCTCAGCTCCACCAAGTACATCATCCACCTCCTTCAACTTGGGGTACTTCTTGTGAGATATCTGAAACACAGGACGATGAAATACACAGTTAGTATCATCAACTGTTGATCCAAAAACACAGGTCTCAAGACAAAAGCAGTGATTGATTAATTCACTTACAGATACACCATGGACAGCATACTGACTCTCAGTCAACGTCCTTGCCTGATCCCTTTCAAGCCAAGTACCAAGCAGACAAGGCATTCATGTATACACAGGGGTGGAAATAACTTTGAAATTGCTAGTGAACTCCGGTACAGTGGAACATGTAAAATCACTTGCCCTGATAACTTTTCCACCATACCGTCCATTTTCTTGTTGATTTTTTAAATAAACAACATAATTAACATTGGAAAGTCAACTGGACACCAGTACAGTGTGATATACAAATTTGCTTGCCCGACAGAAAAAAACACTGGATGATACATATACCATCTTTTACTATCTTTTGGCATGGCATGGCCAAGAGATAAAGCCATCAACCTGCTGCTAGATGGGCAGACACTCAAAGAATATCATCATATAAGTGTTGAGGCACTTAAATACGCTGGAAACAAAAGAATCTGGGCAACGCTGCTTAGGTTTCTCTAGAAGACAGAAGATGGAACACTGATTCAAGGTGTCTGAAGCAGGTTTTTTTTACACAGACTTTTAAAAATGGGAGTCATGGTGACTCACAATATTTATTTTTGGGAGTCATTTTCAATATTTGGGAGTCATAAAATCCTTATGTTAATCATTCTCAGTATGTAACTGTGTATGTCACACCACCAAATGAAACTACAGCATTGTTCAATTCAAACAGCCAGGATTACTGTCTCCTCTGAGTTCTCTGGAACAATCTGACAGCTCTGTGAAAGTCAAACTTCATCGAACAATATCTTTTTTTTGCTTATCAAATCGATTTTATTGAACTGAATTGTGAGGGCCACCCATAAAACTTGCGTCAAACTTGACTCGTATGATAATATTTTGAGAGTCATTTACAAAATTGTTGCGTCAAATACGCAGGAATCACGCGTCATGTTAAACCCTGCTGAAGCACACAAATTCTGCAGATTCTACTTTATGCAGCCACTGGCTTTGGATCTTGAGTCCTGTTGTTTTGTCTATTGTGAGTCAAGAGATTAATCAGTTCCCAGATCAGGGTTTTCAAAACAATCAGATTAACACATACTCTGAATATAATCCCTGATTTGGTTGCACAAACTTATTCATTCAGATTAATGTATTATGATGTTTAATCTTTGATCGAAGGGAAGGTAATGAAAACTGCAATACATAACAAAGGTATGTCACTAAGTATGATATCAAAAGTGTAAGGCTACTTTACAATGAATTATCATTTGCAGAAGCCCTAGCACTGCCATTGGTAGCCCGATGAAGGATGAAAGGTGAACAGACTGAGGACATCTGTGAGTGATAATGGCCAGAAAAATAGTTTCGCATTTATTATTATTACAGGGGTGGAAATAACTTTAAAATTGCTAGTGTACTCCGGTACAGTGTCACATGTAAAATCACTTGCCCTGATAATTTTTCCACTATACTGGCCGATTTTCTTGTTGATTTTTTAATTAAACAACATAATTAACATTGGAAAGTCAACTGGACACCGGTACAGTGTGATATGCGAATTTGCTTGCCCGGCAGAAAAAAACACTTGACTGGGGCGTCGGGCAATGGGTTATGTCCACCCCTGTATTATTATATTTATGGATAGAATTTGTCCTCAGCATGACAATACATTGTATCTCAAACCATCCCAACCCAAACAAACAGAAACAAAATTGTTTTTTGAGCTTTTTGAACGTCAGATTTGGTATTTCCATAGATACTGATACCTAAAAATTAGTAATATACTGAGACTGTGCAATGATAAATATTCGTACTTGCTAGGAAGATCAGACTACCATACAACAGACTAAACATTGCACCTCCCAAATCTGGCAAATGTTTATTCATCTAATCACTACTGTATTGTTTTCTGTTTAAAAATAAACATATAAATATATGTACAGGACATAACTGATCTGTATGTCATCAATCATGTAAGATGAGACAGTCATTCAACTACAGATGGGTGCCACGTTTGTTTACATTTTTATGCAGATTATCTTTGATGTCATCTAGCAACCAGCATGACTGACCCCGGAGAGCGGAAGGTCGCGGGTTCGATCCCCGACTGCGCCATACCAAAAGACGTTAAAATATGGTACTTGTTGGTCCCTGCCTGGCGTTCGGCATTAATGGGTACAACAAGGACTGGTATAATGTGTCTGAGTGGGGTATTCATGCTTCACTGCGGCATGGTATCTCAGTGGGCTAGCACTATAAAACCAGCTTAAGTCTGGGCTAGTACAAGCAGCCGCACATACACATACTCACACATGCATGTCGTCATATGAGCGAAATATTCTCAAGCACGACGTAAAACCCAGTTTCACTTCACACCTCACATGACTGACATTGTGACAACTGTCAGTCACTAGGCAAAATGAGGGCATCATCATGAAGAAGTTACAGTGGCATGCACTTTTCTTGTCACTTTAAGATAATTCTGTCTATTTTAGTTTTATTAAGAGTAAACTGCACATTTTAATGAAGGCTGAGGCTATATCAGCTGATCATTGAGAATTGTACGGAAACCTGTTGGGGTCAAAACCTCTCAGACAGATCTATCTAATCTACCAATGTGTTCAAGAAATAGTGTCACACATATATTTAGACTCCTAGTATATATCTTACAAGTTGGACTTGTTCTGGGTTAGAATTGGTCTTCATCAACTCTTGCTTGTCATAAGAGGTGACCCGTGAAGGTCGAGGGCCCTTATTCTCGAAACGTTCATAGCCCTAAGAATTCTTAACTTTGATCATAGCCAATGTGTTAAGAATGGGCTTAAGAAGTTCGTAGGGCTACGAACCTTTCGAGAATAGCTAGCCAGGTTAGAATGAATCTTCATTAGCCCATGCTTGTCGCAAGAGGTGACTAACAGGATCAGGTGGTCCGGCTCACTGGCTTGGTTGACTCATGTCATCGGTTCCCATTTGCGCAGATCGATGCGCATGCTGTTGATCACTGGATTGTCTGGTCCAGACTCGATTATTTACAGACCGCCGCCATATAGCTGGAATATTGCTGAGTGCGGCATAAAACTCAACTCACTCACTCACTCATAAGAGGCAACTTAAGGGATCGAGTGGACAGGCACGCTGACTTGGTTAACACATGTCATCATATCCCAATTGCGTAGAAAGATGCTCATGCTGTTGATCACTAGACTGTCTGGTTCAGACTCGATTATTTACATACAGCTGAAATATTGCTGAGTGCCGGCTTAAACAAGAATCAATCAATATGTCTTTCAAGTTGAATCGCTACTATATCGCCATCAAGATGAGACACACATCATGAGTGTAATGTTTAGATATCCCTTTCATAAAGAAATTTTACTAAATCTTCTGTTCTCATGATTGAAACATTTTTTTTATTGTTTTTAAATCACATACTACTCCCAGCATCAAACAGTCAAAGACACTTACACGTCATTAAAACTATAGTTTGGTAATAACGACTTTAGGTGATATTTGCGTCTGATACATCAGACACCATCTAAAACATATATGGTCTCTGGATACATTTTAAGTCACTTATGTACAATACAGATTACAGTGAATACTGCACCTTTCTTGTAATGTTCTGTATGTACGGACACGTATTGCACGCAAAACGTAAACACTTCGGCCCCTCTTCCACAACCAAAACGTTGGCACATATTGGACAAAATGTCAACATGTTTGTAACTGGCTGATCACTCTACTAATCCAGATATGGCGTGACGAAATGTTCACGTTGATTTGAGTAAACTGAAGTAAACAGTGCATGTCAGTATATGATAATGAAATGACAACTCATCTTAGATGTGACTACTGTCAGAGATACGTTTGGATGTGATATATTTTACTGATGTATTAATTATTTTTGTAATTATTATCGAATTAATCTTTCATCTTCACATTATCAAAAAGCAGTAAATAGATATCGTTTCAATCATACAATTATCGTCATCAATATTTCATGAAAGCAGTTGTTCCTATAGTAGTCGTATCATGTCATGTGATTTCAAGATGGCAGCCCCCGTTGTAAACACACGAGATATGGGTGTGACAAGTGATGTTTCTTAGCGTGTCTTTGATAATTATTGTCTGAAACACGTTATTTCTGAAACTGAGGACATACTACCCGTGGTTGGCGAACAATGTGAGTACATTTATAGTGATTTTTGTTTAAAACATTCCGGATAACTGTAAACTGATCAAAGCTCGAGCTCGTATGTCACTGTCAGTGTCAGTGATATTTCAGGGTTTATAATAGTTGTTGTTTGAAAACTGCTTGAATTGCGTAGGAAAACCTCAATGATTTACATCCTTCGGTGAACTCCGGTTTATTGTCCCGAATCGTTGACAGTTGAGTTCAATGACTTACAGGCAAAGGCTTGTAGACGAATTCGTAACCAAACTAATTCGTAGTCATGGAGAATTCTTAGTTCAGCCAGCTAAACGCGTCTTGTTCCTACCAAGGTATACATAATACACCGACGTTGGTGTATACCTTGGTATGAACAAGACGTTAGCTGGTTGAATAATGAAGAAAAAGGTTTAAAAGTCTGAAGAAAACGAATTTTCATAAAACTGTCAAACAGTAACTATTTGCATTTATTTACTTACCTTAAGTGATTAAAAGCCAGTCCATTGTAGAAATGTCCCAATTTCAAGCGTAATTGTGGTAGTAGACAATGTTCACCTTCGATACGGAAGCACGCTAAATTTTCAAATGATACAACCTTTTAATCATGAAAGAAAAACGCTATTGCGCAGAATTACCGGACTCGCTTGTATACATAATATGTAACATATTGAACTAATGAAGTATTTTGTGACAAATGTATGCAAGATCTCAATTCTTAAATGACTAAGTATTAATAACATTAAGTTTTACATTAGGGCTGGGATGGTTCCAAATTTTCTATCCAGGGACCCCACCCCTTATTACCCTACCCTACCCGGATACCCGTTATGTTAATTCCTGACATCCAATTTGTAACAAATGGCAATATATTCTTCAGGTCAGAGGCTAAAATTGCGAGTTTTCAATATCTTAACCGTGTATTATATTCAAAAGAAGTGACTGTAAATTATGGCTAAATTTTCAAATGATACAACCTTTTAATCATGAAAGAAAAACATATTATATTGTTTAAATCTATTAGTCACATGATCATAACGGGTCCGGGTATTGAGACGGGTACCTGGGTCCAACTCATTACCCACCCGTCCCAGCCCTATATTACATAGTATTGTTACATCCCAAATTGAAATATATATGCCTACAAATTCAGTCGGGTTTTGTTTACTAATTCACAGTGGTCAGTGGTGCCTGCGAATTCACTGCATACCCAGACAAATATACCACCGCCAACTAGGCCAAGAAAGTCTGGCAGCAACTCATTAGACAATTTACAAAGGAAAGACATTTTCTAAACCTAGGAGGAAAGCAATGTAGAGATATGTTATCTGTAAATTATAGGGTGATGAACTGAAATTGGGTCGAGATGGACCATGTGATGCAAACTGGATTAAAACGGAAAATATGAGGGTGAATGATATATGGATATTATAATCAAATACACTGGATATTGCCAAAGAGGAATTAAACCCACCTTACTGAATTACCGACATTGTATCTGTGTAAAGTAGAGGAACACCAGGACAGAGATTTGACCATTCATATGATCAGATATTTAATGTCTTAATTGCAGATTTGTGAGTGGACAAGATGAATGTCCAGTATGAGAGGATTGATGAGATCGCAGGGGAGGAACTGCGACCTGACCACTACTACCAGATGGAAAGAGATCCTACTGGGCCAGAAAGAAGATGGCCTAAAGTTATTGGAGTTGTAGAAATCATTAGTGGATTTGTTACAGCTTTCTTAGGTAAGCTTGGATATGTTGGGACACTGTAGATGAAGTGTAAACAGTTGAAATCATACCTTCAGTACCCAAAATATTTGAACTGGTTCTTGAAAAGAATGATTGATATTAATGATAATTTTGGTATCATGAATCAATTGAATATGGTTTCATCAATCCCTGTTTTCATCCTTTAGTCATGTCATGAAGAAACAGTAAGCTATCGCAGGGGTGGAAATAACCCATTGCCCGGCGTCCGAGTCATCGGACAAGCACATTTGTATATCACGCTGTACCGGTGTCTGGTTGACATTTCAACCTTAATTATGTTGCTTATATAAAAAAATCGGCCAGTATAGTGGAAAATTATCAGGGCAAGTGATTTTACATGTGCCACTGTACTGGAGTACACTAGCAATTTTAAAGTTATTTCCACCCCTGTATCGTCATAACCAGTTCAAATTTTAGTTTGTTATTACTATAGTCCTTTATGCACTTTCCAACTAAAATATGCAGCAAGTGGCAAGCCCTAATAGCTGTAATAAAATACAAAAGCTGTATACAACTGAAGTTTACTGTAATTTCCAAATACTGTTGTAGACTTAAGTTTGTAATTGCATGAAAAAGTATTATGACATCTTTTGGTAAAAATGGTGGGGAAGCATATGTAGAATTTAATGTTGGAAGTAAGCATCTAAACTTCTGGCTTAAATAAATATTATGTTTGTTTGTCATTTTGATCATGGGTTAATTTAATCAGCATCTATATGTTTAAAACAAGGATGCTTTTTATGATATATCATATGTACTACTCACAAGAACTTAACAAGGCAAGAGATCACTCACTCACTCACTCATCGTCACGATATGGCTGAGATGTTGCTGATGTGACGTTAAATATTAACTCACTCACTCACTCACTCAAGTTTGAGACATTCAATAATGCCAATAATTAAACTGCTTTCGTCTTTTAAGTTTCAACTAATGCAAGCACTACTTTCATCAGTGTTATAACATTTTGCACGACACTGTAATCAGATATTAAACATGTACAATTGAAAAATCCAAGATTTAGTAAGAAAGGTGTGAAAAATAGTTCAAGTGATTGTCATTATACTTGTGTCAGGTATTCTGGTGTGGGATGTTGATACAGAATAATGGAAAACTTGCTGGAGTATGAATAGCAGTCTACAATCAAAGTTACTGCAACACAATGTTGCAATGATGATGACACTAGTGAGACAGAAATGCAGATAATTCTATTGTAATAGCGATAAGTTCTTTAAAAATATCATGTCTGCTATCTCTGGTTATCACTATCAGTGTTGACTATAGCTGAACATGTCCACTACACAGATAGTCATCAGCCAGGGTTTTCCGGTTTGCATGACTTGATCACTGGGGTGGAAATAACCCATTGCCCGACGCCCGAGTCCAGTGGTTTTTTCTGTCGGGCAAGCAAATTTGTATATCACACTGTACCGGTGTCCAGTTGACTTTCCAATATTAATTATGTTGTTTATTTAAAAAATCAACAAGAAAACGGCCGGTATAGTGGAAAAATTATCAGGGCAAGTGATTTTACATGTGCCACTGTACCAGAGTACACTAGCAATTTTAAAGTTATTTCAACCTCTGGATCATCAGTTCAGTGTCACACTGAACATGAGGAAGGGCAATGTTTATAGTTTCCACAGACAAATGATATCAGTCATATCATGCATATTCATATGTTGTAACCATAGTAACATTTGTGAACTTTTCATATCCTAAAGCAGTCATTATCCAGACCTGTTCAGGGGTCGACACTTTTCCTTAGTCTGAAAGAAATGTCATTAAAAATTCAGAATTTAGAGTTAAAAGCTGGATAAATCCCTTTGAGACATCCATTGTCTTTATCATGATTATATCTCTGTGTTATTACTACAAGATAAGTTTGCTGACAGAGCTTAATTTTGACACTGACATCAGTATCTCGACTGTCACTAACAATGATAGTTATGTTCAGAGTTTAGCTCACACTGACTAGATGGGTATTTCTATCATTGTTTCTTTGAAATCAGGGACATACTGAAGCTGTGGTAGAAAATAGGCCCAGGGTATTGGTCATAAGAGAACAGAAATAAGACGCGCAGGATAGTGGAAGATGGTTAAAATTTGATCCAATGTGTATATTCATACCGATACTGTCTTGCTCACCCTTTGTATCTCCAGGACTGGTACATGTATTTATGAAAACCGTCACTGAATTCTGAATCCATTCCTAGTGGTTTTCACGACCTCAAATTACCCGCTCTTGAGTTTTGCCTTATTGATTTTCAATGTTACTAAGTCTAGCGGACCAATTAGAACACAACTTAAATAAGTTATAAACCAGCCTCACAGTTGGGTTGGCGATGTCAACAACACAACGACTTGTCCTAAGTGTGAGAAAATCAACATTGTAAAAACTGACATCCAAAAGAAAGCCTTAAACATGTTAAATAATCAATTTGATGGAAAGGATGTTTTCGTGTCCACCCATCGACATGATTAACCATTTCCTTTCTTTTTATCTCAACATTTGATTTGTCTGTAATTTGTTATACAAAATCAAAGGTTTATTGTTTGTGGTCAGAAGAACCACAGGAATGGATCCCAGGGGTTAGTGTAGGTTTGACCCATGAAGGTCCAGGTTAGAATTGATCTTCAGTGATCCATGCTTGCTTCTCACTCACAAGTGTAGGTTTACTAAAGTAATATGGAGGAAGTGTCTTGGTATGAGGTGAGGTGAAATTGGGTTTAACGTCGTGCTTGAGAATATTTCGCTCATATGACGACGTGCATGCGTGTGTATGTGTATGTGTGGCTGCTTGTACTAGCCCAGACTTAAGCTGGTTTTATAGTGCTAGCCCACTGAGATACCATGCAGCAGTGAAGCATGAATACCCCACTCAGACACATTATACTGACTCCGAGCCGACCAGTCCTTGTTGTACCCATGAATGCCGAGCGTCAGGCAGGGACCAACAAGTACCATATTTTAACGTCTTTTGGTATGACACGGTCGGGGATCGAACCCGCGACCTTCCGCTCCCCGGGCGGACGCTCTAACCACTACACCATGGAGGCGGTCCTTGGTATGAGGTGTGAGGAGGTGTGTCATGAGATTTTGGCTTACACATGATATGCATGATATAGGTGAAACAATCCTATATCTATATGTAATACTCCTGTCACAATTCAGTAGCATATTTACTGAATTGAACTGTAACCCTGTATGAATTTGAGTTGTTCAGAGCACACCAATTTGTTTTAAATTGAGGAAATGCTAACTTGAAATGACAGTCAAATCATCATTCCTATAATCACGAGTATGTTCTGTGTGTCCATGTCATTTCATGTTGAACATTTAGTCACAGCAAGTAATATGGGCATATTCATACGATCTCTTTTATTATGCTTTTATTGTATAAATTGTTTTCGTCACGATATGGCTGATATATTGCCGATGTGGCGTTAAATATTAACTCACTCACTCTTTTATTATGCAGGATTCAATTCTGTCCAAGAAAGCAAACCACGTAGTTGAAATGTTTTTACTTTTTTATGCACACTTACATTTCCTTACTTGTACATCTTCAGAAAAATGTTTTTTGACATTTAAAGGGTGTTATGAAAAACAAGGTGTTTTTGTGTAAATTCATGTTGATTTTTGAGGTATCAAATGGTATTTTGTATTTGATTTTGACATGTAAGAATCAGGCTGTTTTTAGTTTTATGGTAGAAATATTTGAAATCATAACTGTTAAACCATTTAATAGTTAACAAAGCTCACTCGTTTCAAGTGTTCACATTACGGAACAAAAGATTGATTTCAGTGTGTCCTCTTATGTGAAATGTGATATACTTCTGGTAGTGCACAGTTAAATATTTGTTAAACATGTTAACTGCCATAGAGTTCAGAGAAGATCGGATTTATGAATTTCCACAGCTCTATATTTTCACATTCAAAATTCCCAAATTATGTTACTTTTCTAAATAATGAACACAGATAAGATCATTTGTCTGAAAGCTTGGCTCAACCGAACCATGAATTTGAAACCATCAGTGCTGATTGGTTGATTAGAAAGTTTAGCTGTTTTGAAATATTTGCTGTGATTTCACTGAGACATAAGAAAATATATCAATAAATGTAAGGTATGTAACCTTGTAAACAAAACAGAGCCATGTGAATATAAGTTATACATGTAAAAATGTATTTAACTATTAATCTCTGGAATGCAACCATATTGCAATACAATTTTTAAAAATTTTCATCACATATATATATATATATATATCTGACATCTGCATGATATACAAGTGCTGATATTAGGCTGAATCAGCCAATGTATTGAAACTGGTAGAGTGTTCCATCATCAGCCAATGTGAAATGATATGATTATGTAACTTATACTGGGACAGATCACATTTCACATGTTTATAATGATTCATACAACAGTCCAGTCATTAAGTGAGCTGCTGATCATGAGACACATCCATTCAAAATGCATGCCTGCCCTGATGATGACCTCAATCTATGTAGTGTCACATCGTGCCCTGTGTACCCTGGGGATGACCCTTAGTTGAATCCCCCATGGGGGCAATATGTGAAGCCAATCTGGTAAAACCAAACTCATGTAGTGTCACATCGCCCTGTGCCCTGTGTACCATCAGTGCAGTATAGTATAGTGGACACATGTAGTGTCACATCGTGTTCTGTGTACCATGTATAGTGGACACATGTTGTGTCACATGCGTATTCCTGTGTACCATCAGTATAGTAGTGGACACATGTGTGTCACATTGTACCCCTGTGTACCATCAGTATAGTAGTCATGTAGTGTCACATCGTGCCCTGTGTACCATCAGTATAGTATAGTGGACACATGTAGTGTCACATCGTGCCCTGTGTACCATCAGTATAGTATAGTGGACACATGTTGTGTCACATCGTGCCCTGTGTACCATCAGTGCAGTATAGTGGACACATGTAGTGTCACATCGTGCCCTGTGTACCATCAGTATAGTATAGTGGACACATGTTGTGTCACATCGTGCCCTGTGTACCATCAGTATAGTATAGTGGACACATGTAGTGTCACAGTGGACAAATGTTGTGCATCCCTGTGTACCATCAGTATAGTATAGTGGACACATGTAGTGTCACATCGTGCCCTGTGTACCATCAGTATAGTATAGTGGACACATGTAGTGTCACATCGTGCCCTGTGTACCATCAGTATAGTATAGTGGACACATGTAGTGTCACATCGTGCCCTGTGTACCATCAGTATAGTATAGTGGACACATGTTGTGTCACAGTGTACCATCAGTATAGTATAGTGGACATATAGCCCTGTGTACCATCAGTATAGTATAGTGGACACATGTAGTGTCACATCGTGCCCTGTGTACCATCAGTGCAGTATAGTGGACACATGTTTTGTCACATCGTTCCCTGTGTACCATCAGTATAGTATAGTGGACACATGTAGTGTCACATCGTGTCCTGTGTACCATCAGTATAGTATAGTGGACATATGTAGTGTCACATCGTGCCCTGTGTACCATCAGTATAGTATAGTGGACACATGTAGTGTCACATTAAGGCCTGTCCCAAGTTCAGTACTGCCTATCACAGCATCAGCGTGGTCAGACACTCAACACTTATCAGTTTTCCCCTCCTGGTACAGATGTACTGGCTGCTGATGATAAACCTGTATCACGTGTACATCACTCTTGGTGCATAGTGTATGGTGTTACTAAGTACACAAGTTATACTGCAGTCATATAAACACTACCAAATGAAGTTTATGGTCAGGCTTGTTGACTTGGTAACACTGCATGCCATTATTGCAGGGAACTTCGCTCACAAACTCTATGATTGGATTGGCATACCCACCACCCTCTATTATTCACTCAAAGTGATGCTTGCCAGTCCTAGCTGGCTGTTTCCAAACTATTGTCCTGTAACCTGTTACTTTTGTATCACTTACTTTCAACATTTTCTGTTAGGACAAAAATGCCATTTTCTTAAGTTAACAAAATGACCGACAATTTACATTAAAAAACATATTGATATCCTTGGATGCAACTTAGCCATGTTCTTACCAAAATTGTGATGACAAATAAAGTACCCTCACAAAATGTGAAATTGTCCTCACAATGTCACATTAATTAGATGCAGTTAATGTGAGGTAAACTGACGCAATCTAGCATGCTAAGTACTGCCAAGATATTTTCTGTGTACCGAACCGCTTTGTGGTGTGTTGCACATGCACATACAATGTATCATATATTTTAGTCAAAATGTTTTAACAAGCTATAGTTAAAACAGACTAAAATTAGTGACCCTTCAAGTGAGTCATAACCATTGTTTACTGTGTATCTGTTTAAGTCAGTTATTTGCAATTACGTATGAAGATAATGGTGTATGTTTTATGTCTTTCAGGTGCAATGGAGGTGTTTATAGTGCCAATGACAGACAACATCCGTGATTCAGATGTGATTTACTTGAATAAAACTAACTGCTATGGTGCAGGCATTCTGGCAGGAATAATGGTAAGTGTGATATGCTCAAAATATGTGAATGAGTAAGTTGCATTTTACGCCGCTTTGCAACTGAGTTTTAGCAATATCTGAGCAATGTCATGGGACTGCAGAACTGGGCGTCACACATTGTACCCATGTGTGGGATTGAACCCGGTTCTTTGGTGTGACAAGCAAATGCTTTCACCACTAGGCTACCTCACCTCCCTTCAGAGTAAGTTTGGGATAATGATCATGAATAATTTTGGATGGATGGGAATAAACAAGCCTCATTGGCCTATAAAATCTCCCTCCTTAATGAAGTGTATTCTGGATTAGGATAGATCTCCAGCAACCTGTGCTGGTTATGCTCACTGACTGAGTTTGGTTTTACTTTTTTAGCCGTTTTTAGCAATATTCCAGCAATATCAAATTGGCTGGGGACACCAGAAATGGGCTTCTCAAATTGGTTCCCCCACCCATGTGGGGAATCTAAAACCCTAGCTTTCAGTCCCATGTGGGGAATCGAACCCTAGGCGTGACGAGCGTAGCTTTAACCACTAGGCTACCCCACCGCCCCTGTGCTGGTTATGAATAGTGACAAAGTGGATTGGGTGGATCAGTCTCTGTGACTTGGTTGATGGATTCATTGACCACCAAAGCTTCATTTCATCACTATCTCATCTCTCTTATCTGTAGTAGAATACAGATTTTCTGTTACTCGTGTGATTGTAATAAACAACCATTTCAAAGACTCTCCTTAACAAGAGTCCGGCCTTGTACATGTGAACTTATGATTCATTTAATCTGGAAAAGGAAAACATGATTAAGGTAAGGAGAGGGAAGTCCTCATGCTGTCAGGCATGGCTAGTTGTGTGTGGTACTGGCATTTGTTTCAGTCAAACAAATAAGTGAATTTGAGTGGACATCCATATTTGGCAACATTGGCTGGACTCAAAATGAAGCCTTTGTTGTTATTTAAACTGGTAAAGGTGGAAAAGAATCCAGGACAGAAAAAGTCACTTATAATGAGCCCATGGTTTAGGTTCAGACTTTTGGGTAACATTAAGCAGGAGGTTGGTAAGCTAATAAATTATTGAATGTCAAAGTAATTATATCACCATAACAATTCTAGATAGTTATGGCAGTTTTCTGTAGAATAGACAGATACATCTTTTCAAGGAGGGTACACTTAGGTCACCATCGTTGGTGACAGCAAAAGTGGCTGCATTCACATTTCTGTCTCATCCTACCAGTTACCCGTTGACTGCTGGTGAACCGGGGCAGATTTCTAACAGACACAAAGCAGGCAACGCTTTTGTCATTTTTTAATTAGCTGATATGAACCCTCACATTCACCACCAGCACTATCCAGTTGCTCCTGAAGTGAGTTCTAGTGAGTTTAGTTTTACACCACACTCAGCAATATTCCAGCTATATGGGGGCAATCTGGAACAAATCGAGTCTGGAACAGACAATGCAGTGATCAACAGCATAAGCATCGGTCTACGCAATTGGGATATGATGTGTCAACCAAGTCAGCGAGCCTCACCACCCGATCCTGATAGTCACCTCTTACGAAAGCGTGGGTTACTGAAGATCAGTTCTAACCCGGATCTTCACGGATCAGTTGATCCTGGAGCTACGGTGTTAGTTCGTGCTACACTCCTGCCAACTAGTTCATTCCTCCAATGGGATGTGTACCAAACGTCAATAAGTACTGCAACATGCTTGACACATGGGATGAGTTTGAAGTTGATGATGTTGATGAAAGTTATTTCACTTTTCTCTAACTTTCTATGTGTGATATAGTATTTTGTTATCTAATGTTGTCACTGTTTCAGATGATATTAACAGGAAGCACAGCCATACGGGCATCGATCAGCAAACGAGCTTCAACGGTAAGGAGTACAATTCCCCACAAGCCTGGATAATGGTCACTCAATGTCCAGTGAAAAACATTCAAAGCAATATCTCTCAGATTTTGCAAACAGGACATGACATCAAGTCATAAGGAAAGAGACCGCCTCCGTGGTGTAGTGGTTAGAGCGTCCGCCCGGAGAGCGGAAGGTCGCGGGTTCGATCCCCGGCCGCGTCATACCAAAAGACGTTAAAATATGGTACTTGTTGGTCCCTGCCTGGCGCTCGGCATTAATGGGTACAACAAGGACTGGTCGGCTCGGAGTCAGTATAATGTGTCTGAGTGGGATCTTCATGCTTCACTGCGGCATGGTATCTCAGTGGGCTAGCACTATAAAACCAGCTTCAGTCTGGGCTAGTACAAGCAGCCGCACATACACATACACACACATGCACGTTGTCATATGAGCGAAATATTCTCAAGCACGACGTTAAACCCAATTTCACCTCACCTCATAAGGAAAGATCTGGAAGGAGTCTAAGTTACTTTATTGATCTTTTTATTGTTAAACCTGAACAATATTATTCAAATACAGGTTTTGAAATTTGATATCACCAGGGCAACATAGCTCGACTCCTCCAAAGGAAGTCAAATTCAGGATGAATGACATTTCCTTGTTGACTTCCATGGATGTTAACACTCTACAGAACATTTATGTGGAAAAATCATTTCTGACAGAGAGTAAGGTGAATTTATTGGTTAGTCATGGCATTGTTAATATATTTAGTTTTATGTGGGTATCCCCTGGGTTCATTCTTTTTGGGTATGTTTAAACAAATGAGTATCGGGTAATCATTCTTTAAACAGAGGCCCAGATAAGCTGCGTATCCGGGTAAAATACGCATAGAAAATTTCCAATTACGCATTGAAAATAATTGTTGAGTACTAATTACGCATTTAAAATGTTAGATACGCAAAAAGTTGAAAACAAATGCGTACGGAATATATTTATAAAAATCGCTCGTGTAGTGAAAATAAGACTATCAAGTTGTACTGTTAGTATAGGACAAGTGTTGTACTGTCAGTATAGGATGAGTGATTTTTTATGAAATCATTTCCATTATATTTAAGTTGGTTTTGATTAGGTATGACATAAGGCAGAACATACCTGCTTAGTAAACTTACTCAATGACGTAATACTTAGGTGAGTAAAATGACTGAAATACTCACATATTTGAAAGCAGTGGGTAACGGAAAATGAAATACCCACTCAACATTCATAATACCCACTCCCAAAAAATACAGTGGGTACAGTACCCACATGAGCTAAATCTTATATGGAGCTCTGCTTTAAATGTGAAACTCTGAAATGACTACCATTTCACATTTGTCCATGTCAAGTCCCAGGTGTGTCGCCTATAGAATAAGTTCCTAACAGCAATACATATCTGTGTTGTAGCTTGCTCCAGCCAGTACTTCACTGATAAGAACACTCATTGTTATTTTGCTGATCATGCAGATAATTACACTGAAACAGATAGGCTTCACCACGTTACAGACAAAAGGCATGATGACATCTCATATGTGCTTCCTAGCAATAACACACCTTAAATTTCTAGTTACTATCAAACAATTTGCCTGTTTAGGTTATTAGGATTCCCTAATCCATCAAAATTGTGATCTGAAAAATAAGAAAATAGAAACAATCCTTGATTAAATCCTACCATAGGTCTGATGTTAGCATCTAGACAGTCTTATGAACAGCTGTATACAATAGTCTGTATGTTTCTCAGGTGTACCGCTTCTACAACCTGACCATGCTGACTCTGGTTCTCTATGTGGCCATAACTATCTTCCTCATCACAGGCTACGGACTTGGCTGGACGGTCAAGTCAAACTACCCAGTGAGTACTCGGCCACATCATAGAGAAGGGCAAATGAACCATTATTGTAAATCATCATGATACAGAGTGCTCTCCCTTTAATTATTGAACATAATTGCATTAGTCTGTGTACCTATGCTAGTAATTTTATGCTGTTTCGGTCAAATACTCCCTTTCATGAAATTGAGATCTTCATGACAATTTTGTTCCACTGAATACACAATACCATTTAGAAAGTGGTCAAATTTAACACATTTCTAAATGGCATTGTGTATTCATATCTTTCTGCCATGGGAGCCATGCCAATGTACACTTGTCAGAGGGGTACACAAAGTCTGTGGTCTGGTCTACCAGTGTTCCGACTTCCATCTTTGTGGAAGGTGCGGTGGCTGAGTGGGTTAGACGGCTGACTTTGTGTGCTGGTGATTAAGTGCCTGACTTTAAGAGTGTGGGTTTGAATCCCAGATGGGACTCAACCCAACAATATACTAGAATCTGTACTTTACTGAGAAAGTGTAATCCCAAATATAACGAGTTGACTTTCATTCCATTTCAGCCAAATACTCACATCCATGAAGTCCACATCTTCGTGACAGTCAGCACAGTGCTGGGTCTGATGTTTGTTACATCGGCATTTGTCAAGTACTATGACCTTGTGTTCTATGGCGAGATGCAGCTCGCCAAGAAATGGCTGGAGTGTCTAACTTGCTGCTTCAGCAGGAGGGTACGTCAACGATTCTTCCATGGGGCACATCAACACACAATCTTCGGGGCACATCAGTAACTGTTTGATGGGGCACTGTTGACCAGCTAATCCATAGACTGACTAAACACCTCAAAGTTTATTCATCAGTTGTGCCCTTTGATCATTCAGTTTCTGTGATGTATTTTTGTTAAGGCCAGACCAATTTTATTTCTTGTTTTACAGATTTTTGTCCTCAGAAAACCTAAAGGCAGGAGGGATAAAAAATAAAAATAAAATCACCAGTCAAAGTAATATTCCTTCTCAATACTCAAAGTATTTACTTTTGGCAATTTATGAAGTGTGATTGGGGCAAAACAATCTAAATTTCTTGTAAGTTTACATTTTTGGCCAATAAAAACATTAGGATTTTATTTTGTGAGCAGGGAAAACTCTCTTCTTTTTTTTTTCTTATTCTTGAAAAATTATGACAGGCAGATCCGTAAAACAAGAAATAAAATTGGTCTGGCCTAAGTTGTGAAGTCTCCGTTGATCTTCCCATAGTTTTGATCATTGGATCATAACCAGATATGTTTCACATAAAACCACACTAACTCCTACACTGAAACATGCATGTACAGGGTGTAATTTTGCTATTTTCAGTTTGTAGTGATGCAGTTCACATGCATCTAAAATCAAAGCATGTGCATTCCTTGTTTCTCAACTCAGTCGCATGGTTTTATGGGAAGGTAAAATTTCTGTCTGTTCCAAATGAAATATCAGGACATCATATACTGACTTGTATAAAACATTAAAATAACTTGCACTAAAGCTCCAAATTTATCTGAAAAGTGCCCTGGTCATCTGGTACCACATTGCCTGGAGTCTTCTGATTTGGTTTGCTTTTGAATCAGGACATGTGAACATCCGGGTTAGAATTGGTCTTCTGCAGCCCTTGCTTGTCGTAAGAGGCGACTAAAGGAATCAGGTGGTCAGGGTTGATGCATGTCATCATATCACAATTGCATAGATTGATGGTCATGCTGTTGCAGCAGTGAGGTAGCCTAGTGGTTAAAGTGTTCGCTCATCACGCCGAAGACCCCATTTCGATTTCCCACATGGGTACAATGTGTGAAGCCCATTTCTGGTGTCCCCCGCCGTGATATTGCTGGAATTTTGCTAAAAGCAGCGTAAAAGTCACTCACCCATTCATTCGTGCTGTTGACCAAACCAAACTTTTGGATCAGAGAGCAAGAGTGCTTTTCAACATATCAATTCATTTCACGTCAGATGTCAAAAACAAAGTCGTGCCAGCCAAAAAATAAAACCATTATTACCACTACTTAAATGAAAATTCATAATTCTAGCGATACTAGTTTCTGCATTGTCCAGTTGTTTAGAAGACAGCAGTTGTCAGCTAGGTATTCCCAAGGGACATAGAACATCTGCTGGGGAAGGTTTGCTGTTGTTTCCTAGCAGTTGCCATGGTGATGGAGCAGCCTGGTTTGGTGGGAAGCATCCTGCAGGTTGGAAACAGGCAAACTTACACCCTGGTGTACCATTTTTTTTAATATATACATATATCTGTGTGGTTTCATCCTCTATAGCTTCAGGACTTCTACAATAACCCCTGGATCCATCCTTGCCTTCTCACAATTTCAAATTAGTGAGTCCTCATAATTTATTGCTAGGGGCTGGTGATTTTTATGGAGAAGCATGTACAATGTGAATGACACTACCACCACCACCACCACCACCCCTAAAATTTATGTACAAAGTAAGTGACCCTCCCTGCTTGTCAATGTCATGTATTAATTACACCCTCCCTGGTACATCACCCTTCCTAGCTATGAATTATGAACGGTCCCTTACCTGCTGTTGATTTTTTTACCGACCAATCAAATGTCCAGGTACCTGAAAATTAAAAGGAAATGTTTAAGGGGTTAAGGGACTTGCCACACCCAGTTTTAATTGACATGGAGATATTGTTTCCATCAGGTGAAGGCTTCCTTTTTGAGTCAGCCTGTGTTTCTAATATTGAGATTCTCCTAAACTCTGTTGTTATCAAGTGGACTGGTCACCATATTGTTTGGATTGCTATGCCATCATTCAGATTGGTTGATAACTCACATTCTGATTGGTCTATTTGACTTTGAGTAGAATAGCAAATCATATTGTCTCATATAGATCAAGGGCAGGTGCTTTGAGATCAGGAGACCCACAGGAATCGATCCAGGAGTTAGTAAAAATGGAATCCCTGGAGGTACAGAGGATGTATGTTTTGTGTATTAGGATAATGTTTTTTTCTGTAGATATTGTTTTTAACGTAAATGCTTTTACATTTGTCCACACTGGAACCATGCCCCTTTTGATTTTGTGAATATGCATTTACAATGTGTGTGTTATTCATGCCGTGGCAATATCCTCCTGCTGGCTTGTAATGGTACCTCCACAAACACCTGGTAGTCACCCGCAGCCTTCGATCTTCATCCCAGTCCACTAGCCTGACGCAACTACATGTGCTAAAGCCATTGACAATATATATGATTCTGAACCAGTTCTGTTTCAGTTTTTCTGCATATTAAGATGATGTAGTAAGCATTTTTGTCTTGTTCATGCAGGATTAGATGCACACTCTGAGGACTAGTGACATTACATTTACACTCATTCTCTGGACTTGTCTTAAAACAGATGAATATCTCATATACACATCCAAGAAGCATCCATCCATGTTCCACCCACCAGTGAAGATCCGGGTTAGAACTGATCTTCAACAACCCATGCTTGTCGTAAGAGGCGACTAACGGGATCGGGTAGTCAGGTTTGCTGACTTGATTGACACATGTCAACGTATCAAAATTCTGTAGATTGATGCTCATGCTGTTGATCACTGGATTGTCTGATCAAGACTCTATATACATGTATTTATTTACCATCATATGGATAGAATATTTCTGAGTGTAACATTAAACGACAACAAACCAACTACAAACATGCCCCACCCCTCCACATCTGACCAGCTGAATGCAATCCAAGTCAGTATATGAATGATCTGATTCACCCCTTCACACATTTAAACTGTTCTTAAATGTTCAAGGTGTCCACCAAAAGGATAGATGTACATGGATGAAATGTAGCATGAAGATGATGGCAAATGGTGATGCCTTCGGTGAACGAGTACTATGTTTACTGTTAAAATTTACAAGGATGCAATCTTTGTGTAGACTTGATTCAGCTTATGATACCCATTTCTGGTGTCCCCTGCCGTCATGTTGCTGGAATATTGCTAAAAGCGGCGTAAAACCAAACTCACTCACTCAGCTAATGATATAGTAGGACTTTAAATCAGTGATGGATAATGTTACTCAGTTCCGAGTCTTGTTAACCTTTTTAACGGATGGTTATTTTAATTAACTTTTTATTGACTTCCTGCTTTTATTAATATTTTGGAGTATTTTTCATCATTGATGCAGATTCCTTGAATGTGAATGTCACAGCAAACTGACTTGAGTGACAAATGTGACATATTTTATATATTGTATATAATTAACACAGATCGCTGAACATACTGACAGCTGGCTATGGTAAAGAGCAATATGCTTAATGTGATTTATATCTTAAAATGTTCCTTTATCTATCAAAATATTTATAATTTTAGGTTATATATTACAAGTTATGCATGCACCAACTGCACTATCCCACTCAAACTTTGCTTCACCAAATCTGGCTCTTGCAAAATGTTATATGATTTAAGACAAGCATCTGTGTAAAATGTCATGAAAAGGCTGTTTGTTTTACAGTTACAGCAAACCGAGTATCAACATTGATAGAAAGTTTTTTAGTAAGTAGCAGCTTTTTTGTGGCAGTATTATAAGATGATTGGCAGTTTCCTGTCTCAAGCTATTGAAGATGAGACGCTATTCAAACCATCCTAGAAGCTTTTGTTAGAGCTGGTTTTTTAATTAATATTTGCACTTTAACACAAACTCATTACTGTTCTGGGCACATTGCACTTACATTCTAGTGATAAATATTATTGTGGTTGTGGTAACATTAATGTGAATCATAAGTTCATATTTATATTTGCAATGCAGAGCATAGATGTTGTAGATTAACAGCTTTTTCAAGTGAACTGTTTAAAAATACCTAACTGCTGTACAATAATTGTCAGAACTTCTATTGCAATGTTAATGCTGGATTCTGATTGGTTGAGATTCAATCAAGTATTTTCAAATGGCTGCTAAGAAGAACATTCTTATGTTCCCTGTTTGAATTGCCAAACAGTTGACATCACATTTGATACACGAAAACTGCAATTTTGTGTCTTCAATTAATGGTATAAGATGCCATTCCTAGGGGATTGATGATATTTTCCAAGTGAAATAGGGGGCGCAGTTGGTGAGCGATCTAGTCGCCAGGCTAGAGATCCAGTGAGCTTAAGGTGCCGGGATCGAGCCCACCTGTGACCAGATTGTAAAACCCTTGGAGTCAACTTTGTGTGCAGACTCTTTCAGTGTTGTCACAACCCCTAGTGTACAGTACACAGCCCTGTGTTTGTAAATGACCAGTAGGTGGCCACATGAATATGTGCAAACACCTAGTTGTGGGTACAGCAACGTGCAGTAAACTTGGAAAAGTACTGTGACTATATGTCCCAGTCAACCCACATGTGAATGGGTACCTCGTAAGGATGGGAAAGCCACATTAACTTGGTGCGCCTAAATGGCTGCAAGAGTTGTATGCTCCCCAGGGAGTTGAGATTGAAAATATTATGTGCCGTTGAGATTGACATCCTATGATCAAGGGAAAAACAAAGCGCCTTTGGGCACTATACAAATATTATATAGAATAAATAGATCCAGGGGGAATAACTCTGCTGTAAATGCCTAACTGTGATATTCTTACCAATTTGGACCAAAGCATGCTTGCATATGGCCTACCTGCAATAAAATTAGAGGTATGTAAATTTCTTGGAGTGGCATCTTAGAAGTTGGGATGTACATTACTGATCAAACTTTAAGGATAACAAGATCTTTTATGTCATGAGAGTGACATTTCAATACAGATTCTTGTACCATTGTCAAGCAGGAATGACAACGGTACAAGAATATTTATCGAAATGTTGTTATTTAAAGAAGTTGTTATCCATAAAGTTTGTTCATTATTGTAGGTAAGCTCTGTTGTCTAATGGACCCTTGCAGGACATAAACTAAGAGGGATTTCATCTACCCATGTTGTCCTAAAGACCAGTGTATGATATAAAGTTAGTGCAAGTATGCATTCAACAAGTATTCTCTTATATGAGTAACAAACTGGTCTATGTAGTCATCCGATTGATATTCCAAAAGGTCCTAAAGATTCCTGAACATATAAGAATATCTTATCAAAAGTTAAAATCAATCAAATATTTTAACAGTTCATATCTTCTTATAGACTAACAACTAGTCTCTGAAATGAACATATTTTACTGAAAAAAACGTTCATAGTAAAAACATATATATATAATGAAAAGGAGCCCTGAGACTTTCTTCATCTAGACTTGCCACATTTTCTAGACTTGCGTGGGCTTTCTTGGATATATTTGCTTCAGGGTCTGTACGAGAGACTAATCTTCTTAGAAAGTATAATTAACCAGCTTTTAAGTCTTGCTTGCAGGATAATCTCATTAATATCAGATCCCAGTTCTAACTATTACTGCCTGAAGTTGTAGGCAGAATAAAGATGAAGGAATAATGCTAGCTTACCACCTATTATATATGTGGCCATGGCATCTATGATCATCTCAGGTGACAAGTGGTTGACATATACTCAGAGGCAAAAGTTACTGAGACAGGGAATTCTTTCATTGGTAATCTTATGAATGAATTTTTTATTTGAACCAGAGAAAGTGTATGTTAAAATGTTTGAAGAAATGCAACCAAACAGTTTTGTTGATATTGCATGAAATTTGTAAGAAGCAAGATATATTTGAGAAAAACCAACATCTAACTATTCCAACAGGAGACCTTTTTGAAATGCTTTGAATTTTTTCTCTGTGTAAATTCCTATGTAGATTTAAAGGTAATAGACTTCATTTAAGGGGAGTAGCTCTACTTGACCATCATTAAGCATAGTTTTGCTTTCACTTCTTTCTGAACATGAAGTGTATTTGTTTGGCACTATGCTGTGTATAGTCACGAATAATGAGAGGTGTTTGATATGACATGTCAGTCAGGTTTTATTTATATTTATCTGTAATTTTAATGAATATGATTGATGATCTTGGTCATTTTAAGAAAACTGAACTTTTACACTTGTGCAAAATTGTGTTTGTAGCCCATCAGGGCTGTTGCTGAAATGTCAAATGCCCCTGGTGTGATATAGTCCCCATTACCGTAGTTAGGCCCAATGATATGACTGCCCACGTCTCATAGTGCCCAGAAAATGGTTGCTCAGGTTCCCCTTACTAGTTGGAGTGGTTGAGACCGAAGTGGTAACATGCTGCTCAATAAAAGATAAGATATTGCATACCAAATAAATATAACAGTAGGCGAACGTTCACTCACTCATTTATTCCCAAGAACACTGAACTCACATTGTGGCCCCTTCATATTATAGATGTTTAAAGGGAGACAACTCTGTAGTGAGAAATAAATAAGGCAGTGGCTGCATAGGCACTTTTAGGCCCAAAGTCGCCTTAAAACCTTACCTACCTACATAAATGAGACAAGATAAGTCATTATTTACCTATATACTTATGTTTTGTTTAACTACAAATGCTTGAAATATCCATACCTCAAGGGAAATAACCTCTTTGTTTCTCTTTACAGCAAGGGGGGTCGCAAACATATTCCAGAATGGCTACAAGAGGAAGCCAACCGGCAGGCTTACCCATATAGATCTCTCGCACGTGGTCATCAGTGCTTCTGTTGCCAGTCTGTCCACTGTTGTGTTCCGTACTCAAGAACATGATTTAGAACTCTGACACACAGCAATGACAAAGGAGAGTTATCTGCCCTGAACTGGATGTAAAGTGATATACCGGTTTGTTAAGTGTTTAGAGTCATTTCGAGATGAAATATTCCCAAAGGAGCAGTATAACAGTCTTTGTATATATTATGTTCATCCTGGTGAAATATATCCATACCTTTAGTTTAAAATGATTTATAAAATGAATCAGGGTGTATGGTGAAAGGGGCAGTAGGGCAGCCTAGTGGTCAAAGCGTTCGTTCGTCACGCCGAAGACCTGGGTTTGATTCCCCACATGAGTACAATGGGAGAAGTCCATTTCTTGTGTCCCCCACCGTGATATTGCTGGAATATTGCTAAAAGCAGCGTGAAACCATACTCACTCGAGGGTGAAAGTGGATTGTTGAAATGTCATCCTGACCAATTTAACTGAATTTATTTTTTCTTTTCAAACTTGATTCTCAGTTTCAGCTTTAAAAGAACATCCAATTTAGATTTGTATTGAAATTTGTGCATGTGAAAGATGTGTTGGATGTTTTCTGTTTATTGATCTCCAATTATCTCAAGGTTATAGAAATACAGTAGTGCTGTTTACGTATGATGGTATGTCTGTTTCATGTGTGAACCACAAAAACAATGCTGAAGGATACAGGTGACCTGCTCTTGTGCTGATTGATTGTCTATGCTGTCATCCATTGCATCTTAGATGGAGACTAATAGAAATCCAAATGCTGAGTTTTCTTTAACAAATATGTAATTCTTTTATGACGTCATATACCTTTGAAAAGTCATTTAGCAACGTTTGATGTACCAGTATGCTAGTGTAGGAATGTAATGTTGCACCAGATTAATATCAGCATTTTTGTGACAAGTGGTTATAAGCGCAGTGTACTTTTACTGAGGATTATGCCTGAGAATAGTATCAGATGCATCAAACAAACAAACAAACAAATAAACATGTCTTCAAGAGCAGATTATCACCTGGGATCTCAGTTAGTCTTTACATGAGCATTCTCATATTTAGCCAGGATTTTGGATTTTGAATTTTGTAAGAAAAGAAATTGTGATGTAAGCTTTTGGTTGGAAGTCAGGCCAAAATATTATTAGTTGTAGTTTATTTGTATGTGTCATTTCATTCAATATATTTCAATAAAACCCATGCAAAATTTATCAAGAAACACTGAAAACATTGGCAATTCAAAGCACAGCATTATGATTATTCCATTGTTTGGTATATTTCTCCTCATCGTATCACAAAATTGGAAGCAACTGATAGAAGTCTTCCAGTTCAAGATAAGTAAAATTCTCCATGTGGATGACTTCATTTACCAGAAGCTGGATGGCATCCTTGAAGCAGACACTTTTTGTGGTGTACTGAAAACACTTAATTTCCTGTTTTCACATGTCATTCCGCTGTGGTGCAGAGCAGTGCTCATATTTAAGAGTGTTCCTGGATCCTTGATGTGTGCTGCTGTAGAATTTGAATTTGCGACCCACTTTAATCTGTAACTTTTAACTTTAGTTTACCCCTTGATTTTTATGCAAAATTTTAAACACTGCAAATGCACTCACAGATAATCTCCACGCCACAAAATGCAATGTATATACATATACCAGTAGGTATAAGCTCTTGTACTGAGTATAAATGAACTTTGATGAAAAGATTCTGTCTGAGAAATAATTTGTTGAAGTACTTGATGTTTGTAAATTATGGTTTTTCGAATAAATGAATGTAGTAATGTAGCTCACTTTAATTTAGCAAACAGGATGATTAACTTTGGCATTTATCCCTTGTAATTTAGTTTTTGGTTTAATTTATATTTTTGTGTATTGTGCTTCTTGGTTTGCATCATGTTTTTACAGGCAATTATTTAATTTTGATTTACAGTTTCGTTTGTGTTCAGCGCATAGAATTTGTATGTGTCATGTGTCAGTCTTTGTTTATCAAAGTCGGGACTCTTTGGGGATTCCCAGTTTTCAAGAGCTGTCTGTGAAGATAGGGTGATGCTGCTTGACCAGACTGTGTGCAAGGACTCTAAACTAATGTCCTTTATAAACATGTGGACCACTGGTTTTGCCTGGCCTATAGAATGATAGTTAGTCAGGACTAGTTTGTGTTTATTTATCAAGTAGAAAAGTGAAAAGGTATAGCCTTTTCTTTGTCGATGGTGGGAGACAATAAAACGTTTGGCTCCAAATGTTGTTTTGGGGTTTGGGGTAAGTGATGAAAATACTTCTGTGTATTTCGGCAGACCAGCCATACTGAATATACCTGAAAGGTGAACATTCTGCCATATTAGATCCCCAAGCTATTTTGGATGTGTTGAATATTCATATTCTGATAAGAACAAATGCACATCCCTGCTCCATCCTGAGGGTGGGCTAGTCCGTTGGTTCGATTCCCCACATTGGTACAATCACTTGGCAAAATAGCCACTGGCCCGTGGCTAGTAAAAATCCAGTCGTGCCAGTAAATCTCCACAGTCACTGGCCCGACTGGCTAGTGAATTTTCATGGGGTCATTCCTTAAATATATCACTCTCTCAGACTTGTTAAGATATAATACAATTTTAAATCATGCTAGATTATGGCCTGATAAATGATGGTATTTTACTTTTTGTAAATCTTTTGCTTAGTTACTTACTTTCTACATTCAAATTTGGGCTAGTGAATTATTTTGTGGGCTTCTAACTTTCAGGCATAGCTAGCCCGACTGGCAAGCAAAATTTGGAAACTATGTCGCACACTGGGTACAATATGTGAAGCCTCTTTCTGGTGTTCCATGATATTGCTGAAATATAGCTAAAAGGGGGCTAAAACATTACGCACTTGTCAGAGCAGGCCTTGAGTTTATGTCTCGCACTGATTGTATATAGTCAGCTTCATTTGGCTTATTCTGCGTTTCACATATAAGTTGGGTAGCAATTGTGTGTGAATATTGCATGAATACACTGGACAGCACGTAACGCAATATCCCACCTCGAAATTACGTGCATACTTGACAGTTTATGTTAGACTGCACTCATTCTTTGCTTATCAGAGATTACTTGTACACGTTGATTTGAAGATACGATCAAATGGAAACACTTTCAATCTGTATATAAGGCTTCATAACTGCTGCTAGGCTATGGTGTGTTGTGATAATCACGTGCACAAAACTATTTCTAATTTGGCCAGTGTTGACTTGGAATAGTATTACATCAGTTGCCTCCCTTTGACCAGTTCACTGATTTTGCTGGCGCGCGCTTGGTTCACAACCGGTCTTGAAAAAAACAGGATGTCTCCTTCAAACTGGATGAATTCCTAGCTTTTCTATGGAAGGTGTAAAACAATAGCATATAAACATTGCTTTCACTTAAGTATTAATGCTAAATTAACTAGTCAGTATATTCAGGAAATATTTTAAGGAAAACAATTGGCAAGTAAACTGGCATTTTGCGTATATTGATATTATTGTGACATAAACTATGTAACATTTATGTATAATGTGATTAGTTGTGTTTCAAGCATTATAGTTCAGTATTATACGAAATTATTTATCTAAGGCCAGATATGTGATATTCTCTGCAAAAGTATTGTTATCAAGTATATTTCACATTAAATTAAACACCACATTCTATGCCATGTAGGTTGAAGCAACTAAAAATGACAGTCAGAAATGTGTAATAAAATCAGGTGATGGAAGTCACGTGACAGATTTGTCATGGCCGTGAGAAGTTTTCTTAGCACTCTGTCGTAAGTAGATCAACATACTTATCCAATACCCTAATTCATCAAAGTTTGTAAGTTTCATCAACAAGTTGTTAAGAATATAAGACTTCTTTACAGTGAACTTTGTTTTGTTTATACTAGTACAATGGTGTTTGTTTGAACACATTTGTTTTGATGGTATGTAAGATGATGCAACAATAAACTTCTTGTACAGTACTTATCATTTACAGTTTTTTGTTATCTTTTGTTTTGTATGCATTGCATCATATTAAGGTATACATTTGGTTGGTTGGCTGGTTGATTGGTTTGTTGTTTAACGCTGCACTCAGCAATATTCCAACTATATGGCTGAAAATAATCGGGTCTGGACAAGACAATCCAGTGATCAACAGCATGAGCATCGATCTACGCAATTGGGATGCGATGACACGTGTCAACCAATTCACCAAAGGTGACCACCCATTTCCGATCCCTTTAATCGCCTTTTAGGACAAGAATGGGTTGTTTGTTATATCCATAATCATGTAATCATGTTAGCCCAATATCTAAAAGCATTTAGGGGCGGTGGGGTAGCCTGGTGGTTAAAGCGTTCGATCGTCACGCCGAAGACCCGGGTTCGAATCTCCACATGGGCACCATGTGTGAAGCCCATTTCTGGTTTCACCCGCCGTGATATTGCTGGAATATTGCTAAAAGCGGCGTAAAACCATACTCACTCACTCACTCACTCTAAAAGCATTTCAAGAACTTCGGAATTAAGAAGGCATTTGGAGCTAGGAGGACTTTTCCAGAGAGCGGAATAACACATCTTCCGCTCTACTTATCCCAGAATATACGGGAAAAGACATAACTGCTTAGATGAAGCAATGTTGCATGTTCCCCTTGGCACTGTGTTTCAGAGGTCTTAAGAAAGCTACCCTCACTGACGTTTCCAGCTTTACCAACACCATACCCGTGCTCATTGATCTCACCCAAGTGAGTCACACCTAACATATTATCAATGTAGGCTTTTCCCCAACCTTCAACTGTTAAAAGGCTCTGGTATTACTGACCCGTGAAGGTCCGGGTTAGAATGAACCTTCAGTAACCGATGCTTGTCGTAAGAGGCGACTAACGGGATCGGGTGGTCAGGCTCGCTGACTTGGTTGACACATGTCATCGGTTCCCAATTGCGCAGATCGATGCTCATGATGTTGATCACTGGATTGTCTGGTCCAGACTTGATTATTTACAGACCGCCACCATATAGCTGGAATATTGCTGAGTGCAGCGTAAAAGTAAACTCATTCATTCACTCTGGTATTACTGAGAACTTGTCAAAACGGCGTTAAAAAGGCTGTTTGGGACATAACCACAACTGCACCGTCCATATCATATCGTGCATAATTGCGTTGGGAATTGTGAAACTGGACTTACTTACTCGTTCAAGATGCTCTGTTGACATATTTTCCATACTTGGACGCCATTTCTCATGGCATTGGCGTTTCTCTGATTCTTCCATAATCCCCAGACATCACTGGAGCGGCGATGAAGCTTAATTCTAACGTAAAGGTTATTGTCTCATTAACGTTTATTATGCATAATACCTTGATATAAAGCGAACAAGAACATTATTGTATATATACACAAAGAACTTAGTTAAGCACCCCCGACATATCTCACGATTGAATTAGCCCCGATCTTAACCCTTTGGAACATATCTGGTACATGACTGGTCGTCGTGTGCAACAAAGGGATCCTGTACAGAACCTGGCCCAAATGGAAGCTGATTTACTCGAGGAATGGCGTAAACTGCCCCTTCAGAGGATCAGGAGGCTGGCAGGGGGTATGAGGAGGAGAGTGCTGGCTGTCAAAAAGTCACATGGAGGTTACACTCGTTAATGACCTTGAATGTTCACGTTCACCAATAGATTCAACATTAAACATTTCAGGGCCACACCTGTTCTGAAAGTATATTAATTGACCATTGAAAAATGAAAATGAACTCTGTGTGTGTGCGCGCACGCACGCACGCACGCACACACGCACCTCAAAAAGCTGTATCTGCCCCTGTTATCATCATCAAATCAACATGGAATCTAATCATTTTATCGTTTTTTTATGAGTCAAACGATCATACGGGTCAGAAAAACTCACGTTATTTCATCGTGGTCACCACGAGAAGTTTTATGTACGTGTTGAAAACATATCAGTGCAAAAATACAGGGGGTGCTTAATTAAATTCTTTGTGTATATGTACAGTTAACAATTGCCAGTTCGTGTTTTTTATAGTCACGTGCACGAAAATATCTCCAATATTGCTTCCTGCAAGTGCTGCCTGCATGAGGTCCTGTTGGTTGAGAAGAGACCCCAGAAGTATCCGTGAACCTACACGGTGTCAGTGTCAGTGGCAGTGGGTAGGTTACGGTAGGAACATATCTTATATTTTGGATACACGTTCTCTGTAAAAAACAGAGTCTAGTACATGTTGGGATCGAGTCCAATGCAGGATTCGAACCCACACAAAGTCAGCAGTCAAAGCTGTGATTTAATCCACTCTTCCACCTGGGCTTCCACAAAAATGGAGGTCTTACAACTGCTAGTTTCGAACACTTATGTGTCGACTAACGCTTAGTCTCTGAGTATACATGGTTTGACAAAAACAAATAATTCCTTTTAAATTGAAAAAGAGCCCCAGTGAGATGAGAGGCTCAGAGCCTGAGGAAATCTAGACTTGCTTCGTTTAGGGTTTTATCATTGCAGAAAGGGTTGATTCATGGACTGTGATAATACTTAATAGATATACCTCTCTGACAAGTATAAATTGTCATGGCTCCCGTAGTCGAAGATATGGATACACAAAGTCTTGGTAAAGCTGGAAACGTCAGTGAGGATAGCTTTCTTAAATACTCTGAAACACGAACATTGCTTCATCTAAGCAGTTATTATGTCTTTACCGTATATTCTGGGATAAGTAGAGCGGAAGATGTGTTATTCCGCTCGCTGGAAAAGTCCTCCTAGCTCCAAATGCCTTCTTAATTCCGAAGTTCTTGAAATGCTTTTAGAGTGAGTGAGTGAGTGAGTTTGGTTTTACGCCGTTTTTAGCAATATTCCAGCAACATCACGGCGGGGTACACCAGAAATGGGCTTCACACATTGTACCCATGTGGGCAATCGAACCCCGGCCTACGGCGTGACGAGCGAACGTTTAACCACTAGGCTACCCCACCGCCCCCTTTTAGAAATAACATATTTGACATTTGAGCACTTTCTACATTATGTATCCTGGTGGGTAGTGAGTTTATATTTGTACGCTATATATAGACTCTCGTACCCGCGCCAATGGTCAACTGATCGCACGGTTTGTAAAGACGTCCTACTTTCAATGTTCAGGTATGAGTCGCGTTTCTTTGTGAAGGCAATGTATTCTTCATAATGACGAGATTAGGCTGGGTCCTTGAGGACACACCCATATACAACTGAGCTGTTGTACCCATTTCGAAAACACGTGTTTTCGGCAGCTCGGACTTTCTCTGTCCTTTATGTCCGGGAGTCTAATCGTATACTCCCGAACAGAGAAGGTATTGTTGGCGCCTCAGACCTGTCACATAAAACTCCCAGACAATGTTAACCCTGTTAGGAGACACCCTTATTACTCCATGTTAATACACACGTCTTAGTGTTGCCTTCATTGAGATGTACTATCCTATCTCCGGGTTTATAGTCAGTTATTTTTGTTGTAAACATACACCGAAGTGTGTATCCATGTATAGGTTATTGTGGCCATTGGTAATTATCCCTGTCCTATTCAGAAACGGATATGTTCTGGTCCATAAAAGCTGGGACACAAATGTTTTCCGAACTAAACCAGTGTCATCTGCAAACAGCTCATCGCATTCAAGATTGTTTGTTCGATTGCTTGTTGTTTTACGCCGCATTCAGCAATATTCCAGCTATATTGTGACGATCTGTAAATAATAGACTCCTTAGAAGACACTCCAGTGATCAACAGGATCTACGGAATTGGGATACGATGACATGTGTCAACCAAGTCAGCGAGCCTGACCACCCAATCCCGTTAGTCGCCTCTTACGACAAGCATGGGTTGCGGAAGATCAATTCTAACCCGGATCTTCACGGGTGTATAAAGTAGAGTCATGGGTAGTCCAATGAGGATAATCAGAGTCAGTCTAATCCGGAACGTAACAGGTTAAAAAGAATCTTGTAGTACCATATGGCACTCTTAAGTTATTGTGTTTTCATTCCATCGTGTTCGTTACTACATTATACAATCATACCTGTTGTATTAATTAATCCAAAGAAATAATATAAATATATAAATAACTATATTGGTGGTGTGCGGTCCTGTGCACAGAGCTCAGGTCACAAATGAGTTGAAGTTGAGCAAAGTTGAGCGCGGAAAGTCCTTGGATGGATGACCGTGTTTGGCAGCTTGACTCCTGAGTTTCTTGGACTTGAGTCCTGCTCCACAACGAAGCACATGTGATACATGTGGTCTCTCCTTAGGCAAGTGAGTTTGTTCAAGCTTGCCTCTGCTTGGGTTATCCAGGGTAATAATGTGCTGTGCTATTGATTGTTAGCGCTATGAGCATACCTAGCGTTGAGTTTGGTGCTATATAGATGGACAAATTATTATTATATTGAGGGTGAACTGTTTGAATACATGCCAATATATTACGTATATACCCAGCCTTCTCAGGGGTGCATCGCATTTAAGAACTACAACTCGTGTATATTTCTTCATAAATATATAATTTCATATGCATATTGAAGTTAATAAATATAAAAATCAACATATGAATGATGATTAGTTCATACAGTTAAATTATACATCAGTACGAAACTGGCTACGTCCAACCAATTCCAAATATTTTCATCCACTTAACAGACCAGCTGTAGAAAACATTGAACACACATAATGGCATGGTATGGTTAGACACTCACACAGACGTGATGCCACTGTCAGACAATAAGGTACAGATAGAACAAGAACACGTCCAACAACAAGGGTTGGTGGTTGGGAGATCGTTGGTACCTCCGGGTTTGAGAACCAAAGACAAACACCGTGATACTCAAATACCGTGCATATAGTTTCATATTAATGGTCAGTTATAACAAGCGCCACTAAAGTGTAAAGTATATGGAACCGGGATCGAGAAAGCAAAATCTAGCTACATCAGTGCATCCGTTAACACAGTGCCTTTCATGTGTCAGTCTCTTGCTAATGGCTTATGGCATAAAGTGTACAGCGAATATGTTAAAAATATAATAGACACAACATGTGTTTAATATACTCATGCCAATAATGGTTGTCACCCCTTCAATTATTTTAATTGGAGAGGGTGTGATGTGTGTGTGGTGTTGGGGTGGGGGAGGGGGTGACAACCATTATTGGCATGAGTATATATTATACGAGGCCATTTTCAAACACAAGAACTGTCAAATTTCACATTTAGAGAGGTTATAACATTTTCCGCCAACACTTTTCACGCCGACATATGACCATATTAGGTAAGTGATTTTCAGATAGCATTTTTCTTTTCTTCAAAGGTTATACATGCTAATATGTAAACAAAATATTTTTCCAAAATTTGTGCTCGTGTGTCTTTCTTGAAAGTAGAACAGGGCTAATATTCTAACTGAAGTATAAATGAGAAAGTAGAATGGCTATGAAGACCAATCATTACACCAGCAATGTAAAAGGGGAAAGCCTGTTGCAAATGTGATGGCGAAAAAGAGTCTAAATACACAATTCGGTAAAAGCAATGTTGTTGGTTGTGTATTTGAATTATGTCGCACGTTTTTTCAGTTCAAGTTGGCAAAAAGGCTTCTTGTCATAACTCATACTGAAACACCACCTCCTGACACAATCACGTTGTTCAATATAACGCGCCCTGCTGCTTGTATTTCATGATGTGCCCATTTGTAATTTGATTCTGTACCAGGGCGTCGCTGTTTAATTAGCTAATTAAGTATCGACAGGAGGTAGGGATTGGTATGGTTTTGATTGAGTATAATGATTCCAAATTACCGAGGTTGACTATTTTCCAGTCGTCCTCTCCAAATTTGTGAAATCTCCCTCCAAGAATACTGGTCACCCAGTAACGTCTTCAGCACTGTTCCATTGTCTTTAGTCTGATAGTCCGACCAAACACAGGTTGCACTAACCACAGAATCTTCACACAGTGCATGTCAGAAAAAGACACATCCGGATGGTTTCTGTCATGTTTTACATCTGTTTCTTTAAGGCCCACATAGGATACAGAATTATGCATCCATAATGGCGATGCTTCGATATTTCCTGAAGGTGAAGGTCATACAGGTCACTCAGGTCAAGGTGTGTATGGAGGTGGTGGCTCTGGTTTATATGTCTCAGAGTAGGGAGGGAGTGTGACCAGACCTGGGGAGCTTATAAAAAACACATTTTGCGACATTGGATCTGAATCCACCGGATATCCGGTTGTGCCCGGAAGTGAGTTACAGACTACATTCTGTTGATAAATATTGTTTGCAGCTGTCTGATGTGCGCGCCTCCTTCGAAGTTTCCGTCTCTTATAGCATCTTAAAAAGGAAAACACGATGCAGGCAAAGATCGAGAATACTGCAAAAAGGGTCATAATAAGACCCATGATATAGGCGGTGCTCTCCATTGTCTGAAAACAGAAAAAAAAAATCTTTTGCTAATTAATATGCATTGTGTGGGGCAATTGTTGGCAAAGTAATTGTATCTTAGTTCTAGCGCCCGCTAAACAGAGATCTGAGGATATCATTTTACGGGACATGTCATAATGACCTTTTCAACCACATCATGGCTTATCAGATGTGAAACGTTACAGTCGGAATGTGCTTGCAATCAATTCCCGGGGAGGACTGCCATACGGCCTTGCCCATCTCTCTGATATTCCAGAATAGTTTAATTTTCAGATTTTTAATCGAGAACCTTATCTAAACGTTTCCAAAACTTGTCTGGAACTGACTATTATTCTCTTTAAACGCCTCTTTGTGGCGCAGCTTTTACACCCTTAACACTCTCAGTTTGCACATCCGTGTCAGCATATGAACCACTTTGTATATTCCTTACGCTGTTGTGTTCATTTACGTCAGCAATTAAAGCTTTATAGTTCATGGTTGAGTAGACCTGAATGAAAGCAGAGATCACAACAACTGCACACTGAAATTTCTACAGATACAAGGACCATATTGCCTTCACTGACACGCGGACTAGTACACTGTAAATCATGCCTCTTGTACTATCATATGACACCATATATAAACAAAGTCTTTGAATGGCATCTAGAGGTGATACACATAACGAGGACATACATGTGTATAATGATGTCAATTTACTTGTGTAACAAGAGGAACATACCTGATGAGGGAGTTAAAATATCATATCATATCATATCATATCATATCATATCTTATTACGAGGTCAACGTATGGGTAGTTGCATACTAATCTCGTACGTCACGAGTGTCGTATCGCGTTGACCTGTGTCGTAACGACTTGACCTGAGATTCTAACGATTTGATTGGATAACCGATGACCTCTCAATTAGGTCACATTCTGACGTAACTATTTTTTCATTCATAACAAACACGTGAATTCATTCATTCTACAACTTAAATGCATTGTGGGAATGTAAACATTGCGAACGTTGCCGTGTCGCTGTTTAATTGTGAGTCGAACTGAGACATTATATCCTTCTAAAAACATAAACGCAATGTTTCCACCAGTGATGTTAGCCAAATGAAGCAACTGGAAACCAAGAAACGAGGTGCTACGGAGTAGTTTACTGTAGGAGGCTGTACGAGGCGATGACAACTGACATGCATCGTGACGTCGGTTACCAAGGCTGTGACGTCATGCAAATATTGTACTACAGTACAAAACTCTTCTGCAACCTCTTTATGAAACCGGTTTCGGTTTGAAACCAAAAACATAACAAAAATACGCTAAATATTTTGTCAATTTCATGCATGTAAGACGTGGGTAATAAATAAAATACCACACTCGGTCTCATTACATACGAATTATACGAAACTCGTGACCTTCCTATGTTATCTGACCTCGCTTTCGCTCGGTCAGATACCACAGGAAGGACACTCGTTTCGTATAATTCGTATGTAATGAGACCGAGTGTAGTATTCTCTATATCATATCGCACCACATCATACCATATCATATCAAATAACAATATAAGTACATACATTCTATGAATTATTATGTATATTTCTTAGAGACAATGCCTGATAGATAAAGGTTGACAACTTACGGATAAGAACGGATATGATGTAATATGGTGTGTTATGATATGATGTGATACGACAAAGTATGTGTAATGCGATGTTATATGATGTGATACATTTTGATGTGATATGACATATTGTGATGTGACTATATTATTCTTTTCTATGATATTATGTACTATGTTCTTGTATACTATGGGCCTGTGACCTTCAGTATGAATAAAGATTGAATAAAGATTGACAACGCAACGATTCGGCATGTCTTCGTTGACGTCAAGAGTAAAAATATACCAGAAACGCCCTCGTATGTTCCTCATATTACAGAAGTTGACGTCTATATATTGCTCATTGAATACAAACGCAATACGTTAGGTGTATGTGTGAGTGGGTAAGGGTTTTTGTAGCTCTTAGCAATGTTCCAGCATTATCACAAGGGACACTGTAGAATTAGCATTAAACTTTGTTCCCGAGTGTCGAATGGAATCATGACTCTGTCCAAGAACATATCTCTGTCGCCTCTTACAACTTAGTATGTATTATTGGTGTACTTTGAATACAACTTCCTCTATGCCACTTCCTTGTACGTTTATAACGTGAGCCCTGTGACCCATTTAACAGTGCAATCTAGCCGACCAAGATGAAATCCTTTACCTTTTATACCCTCTCAACAGTACGTCTCAATGGTCGTAACGCTCTGATCGAGAGAGCACGAGACGGTAATTCCCAAGAAAGAAAAATTATATGACTCTCCCGGAGATAAAATGTAACTCAAAGCACATATATAATCATCCCCTTACCACAAAACCACCCGACTGGAACGACCAGAATATAGATACATTGATAGCTTAGTATACATGCACCTGAGTCATGACAGACCCTCGGTAAGCAATGGTGACCTAAATCGACTTTGAATGTGGGTTTTATATGGCGCATTGCTTTTGTGTAAGCAATATGATATCCTTTGTGTCAAAGGTGTTTCAACTAAACATAGTATTTAAGGAAGAGGTTTACCTCTGGCTATCTATGTATTGTGTAATTGTGTTTTGCTGGTCGGGCGAGATGACTCGGCGGATGTTCTGCTCTGTTTACAGTGAAAATTAAGCCTCTGTACACGGTTTCCAACATATCTTTGACACTTCAGTCTTTGCATATCCTGTCAAACACATGTCTGCATTTAGATAACGTGCAATATGAATATTTAAACTCACAAAACTTATATTTAAAAAATAGAAACATATTTGCTGTTATATGGATGTAAAACAAATCATTATCTTAAAATTTGATTCTTTGACAAAGAGCCAATAAGTGGTTAAATTGGATTCGTTGTCAAAGAACCTATGCATGTTAAATTGGATTCCTTGTCAGGGAGCCTATACGTGTTAAATTGGATTCCTTTGTCAAATAATCTGAATATATTAAAAATAGACTGTGATATGATATTCAAGAGTCAATGTCCAAACGTCGCCTCCACAAAATAAAATAAGTTGTATATCCATAAAACTTGTCATGATTCTTCCTCAACTCAACTTCTAATATGCCCATTAAAGAATTCAAGAGTTACATAACACTCATACATGATTAGTGTACATACCTATGGATGGAACCATAAGGTTACGTGATCGGTCACGGCAAAATGCAAATAGATTCCTTGTGAGTCACAGGTCCCGTGTCTTTATCATTCGTGATCGACTTGGCATGTTCCGATTTAGACCTATCTGGGGTAAATATGTTGTTGAGAGAGCTCAAGTAGTCACGTTTCTGTCTCGCACCACCCGAGTCATGTGACCCGCCAAAAGGAAACTAGCCGGGTGGAACATATGAAATATGGGCCCTCAGTGAAGCCGTATATAGAGCGTTCGGAGGTACATCTGTCCGACGCTCAGTGAAATGAGCGCTGACGTGTTGAAGTTATAAACACCTTAACAGGAGGGACATACTACTGAAATATGGCTTCATTGAACAATTCACTCTCACTCACATTGCCATTGGTGTATGGGTGAACATTCGGAAAAGCAAAGTGTACTTACTTCGCCTCAATAATGTTTTAATTAGCGTTTGTAACATCACGGGTAATACGTTTACAGTATATGACAATTGGTCAGACTTCGACGTTTCGACATAGTAATGCAGACATTGTTTTCTTGTTTGGTCGCCCGCTACAGGGGAAGTTCATCCTATTGTCTCTGCATATAGCTAAGTGTTGGCAATTATATATTTACGTCAAGGCAACGAGGCATACTAGAAATGGGCTCTACACATTGTACTCTTGTGGCGAACCCTGGGATTCGGCATGATGAGCGAACGCTTTAACACTAGGCCAACACCACACACGCACGCAGGCACACATGCACAGAGACACACACACACGCACGCACACACACATACACACACATGCACAGACACGCACACACACACACACACACACACACACAAAAACACTCACACACACAAACACACATTTTTTGCCAACTATGCTATGCGTGCCTGATTGAATCACCCACCTCACGTTCATTATGCATCGTTACACACACGTAAATTAAGATGTGACACGAATGGTAGTTGAAATACACGCCATGGGGCATACAATCTGTATTCCATAGGACCAGCATAGACTTTGTCTTTGTTTATGTTTACCCTTGACAATCTCTTCTGATCCAGATGATCCCTAGAGTTCGTAAATCCTTCCTTTGATTGGTCAGTCAGATACAATGTCCACTCACTGTGGATCATGGATTAACAGTACTTGCACACTATCTCACGTAATACGTATATAATATAAGTTAAACTTGCCTCTTTTGCACCTATTTGCATTAGTCAAATGACTAAAACGATCAGTCATTTGACCAAAGGACTAAAATTATCATCAAATGCTAGGTATGTTTTGAATGTTGTCTCACAAGTCAAAACATTACTTATACAACAGTCTCGTTTCCTGTTGACTGGGTTCCGTTCTATTGTGCAAGTTAGTACAATAACCAGTTCAGAATTTTGAGACCAATTCATTTAATTGGATGCATAAATATTAATCAGTATTATTTCATACATCTAAGCACTTGTATATTGCAACACTACGCTCCTTATAATCCTTGCAAACATGTCGTGCAGCGTGCTCTGCCGTACAGCGAGCTCTGACAAACAGACACCTGGAAATCGTGGAAATCTCAAAACGAGGCTCTGCCGCTAGAAATGTTTAGCGATCTGGTACGGACTTGATGTTATATCACTCACATTGTGCGTTAAGGAACTACACTGAATAAGCCCAAAAACACATAATAGGTGTAACCAGTGAGCCAGATGCATTGTGAATCATTTTACGACCTCATCAAACAGGGGCAGTCTGTGACGTCTTAGTTAAGGTCATGCTGCCTAAACCTCGCCATAAAATATAGAATTTACGATGCTATTAAAGATTGAAATTACATTTGTAAATACCATTTTCTTATGAAACAAGGAATAAGAATTCAGTGTAACCATAGTTGTTTGTGATGTCCATTTTCACTTTCACACGAGAAAATTCGGATCGGCTGAAAAGTAGGTCATTGTCTAAATAGGTTAATGAGACTCATGTTTCCGTTTGAGAAAACACACGGTGCACATGGTTTCAAATACCTTGCATTTGATGCATTGACGGTCAAACTGTTCAGGCAATCAGTCTAAGTAGAACTCTAATTCAGTCTTACTAGGACTAAATCAGTCTAAGTAGAACTATAATTCAGTCTAACTAGAACTAAATCAGTCTAACTAGAACTCTAATGTTTTAGTCATTTGACCAAACGACTGAAACTTTTAAGTCATTTGGACAAATGACTGGTTTTACAGATTGACTGTAACATGTACATGCTATACCTGATACACCTGCTACAGATACGAGATATACATGTATAACATCAGATATACCTGCAATATCAGAGGCACCACTGTGGTTTAATGCATAAATAACATCAAAACGCAATTGATTAGATGATGCACAAAGAAAAGAAAAGTATACACTTGATTTAAACATATTTTTATTCATGAAGATGAATTGGGATTGGTGAACAAGCATTACTGCTTATATTAACACCGCTCCCATGCAACATATAATACATGAAAATGGGGGATTTGACGTCATCGATACTGACCATTGCATAAATATAATATTTTTAAAATATATAAATATATACAGATTACATGAAATACAACTATTCTCTAAGTAGTCATAAGTTAGAGAGTTACAGTTGTGTGTGTCTCACAAGCCATTGTAGAAATATAAATCAACCATGAGAAGGTTCTTGAGTAAATTAAATTATTTTCCTGAGAAAAATTTAAAGCGTTGAAAATTTAAAGCGTATTTAAAGTATACACTTGAAAACTGTACAGGCTAAAGTGAGTGAGTGATTTTAGTTTTACACCGCACTCGGCAATATTCCAGCTATATGGCGGCGTATAGGCTAAAGGGACATAGACACACTGTAAACGTACACTGTAGGTTCTAAAACACAACTTTCATATCACCATCACTATCTTCAGTGACTCGAGTCAAAAAAGACCATGATTCACTTTGTGTGAGTATATTTTACGCCGCTTTTAGCAATATTACAGCAGTATCAAAGCGGGGGGACACCAGAAATGGGAATCACACTTATACCCATGTCGGGAAACGAACCCTGGTCTTCGGTGTGACGCGCTAACGCTTTAGCCACTAGGCTACCCCACCGCCCCTACACTATCGAATAACCGTTTCGTGATTGTGTCATGTTTGGCCACCATCAGCGTTTGTTGGATAGCTGTTGTTACCTTGTAGTTGACTTACTATACAACATTATCGTCTGTTCAGAGTTGCGTCCCTTAGGCGTGGCTGGATTCTGATTGTGTTTCATATTCCTCACCACGACATCATGCACTGGTCGTATTGCCAAAAGCTAAAGAGTGGCATTATTTTGGACTTTTATCCGAAATCACGTTGGATCCTGTGTTAAGAATGGAATACTGTTCAAAGTAGTTTTGAACTGGACCCCAATTTATGAGAAATTGACAAATCTTCTACCCGACAAGCCTTTGGAAATTTACTAACTTATATTTAAGAGGGGGTAGACGGTAAGTAAACAACAAATTTATCTTCCTGTCTGGTAGATAGCACCCTCCAGTAACAAGGCTATAATATTTTATTTTTGTTATAAACATATTTTATTCATGAAATATTAACATGACATGAAGATGGATTGGCACAACAAGCCAAACAAAGGCTTATGTGAGTGCCGCTCCATAAAATATAATACAATACAATCAATAATTAATTTCAACCAAACTGCAGAAGCAATTATTTCCACAAAGGCATATGAAATGCGCAATAACAGCAAAAAATCTACAAAATTACATTAAATGATTCGCTAGTTACAGTTTGGAATAATTTGAATCTATTTGAAAGTAGTATGTATTTATGAACAGAGTTGAGAATAAGCTAATTTTTGAAGATGTTGCTTGAAGTTTGATTTCCATGGAGAATTGAATTTAAGTCAAAACCATTAGTGTAGAAATATTATCTGATCTTATTAAGTCATAACAAGGACATGAAAAGAAGTAATGGAGAGAATCTTCCCACGGATAGCCACATGCGCAAATCGGATTATTTGAAATATGTCTATCAAAACAATGAGCGTTCAAGTCACTACAACCCAACCTGAGGCGAGCATGGATTATTTGACAAAATCTAGATCCAAAGTTTATCAAAGAGAATATTTCCTTGTTTCGCCTGTAATCGTGTTTTGAACGAATTTACTGATTGTGAGTTAATTATTTCGGTTGATAAATTGTTCCATAAACGTATGGTGTCTGGTGAAAAGGAACGTGCATACGAGTCTGTATGGCAACGAATTGTGTGAATACTATCAGTATTTCTCAAATTGTCAGAACTTAAAACTGAAACATGTTCTGGAATTAAATCAGTAGTTTTGAGTTAGGTTATTATTCATTTTGTAGAATAAAGTAAGTTTTTAACTAATGGTATGAAATTGGTCTCCTTGTAGATTTTTTCATGACTAGTTCCTCACAAATCGTTCTTAGAGCGTCTAATTGTAAATCTTCTAGAATCATAGACTGTTCTTTCGTACAGTTGTCCCATATGTGACAACAATACTCGAAGTGTGGAAGAATATAATAGGCATACATACATTCTAATGTATGTCTAGTTAATTCTAGTATTTCATTTTTGGTCCCAAAACCTGATCACATTGTTCTCTTGAGCCATTGTAACGATCGCAATTTTAGGAAACCAAGAAGATAATGAATCTGCTGACATTTATCAGTTTATCATAATCGAAATATGTACAAGATATTGCAGCTATTTACGAGCCGCTGAAATGTGTTTAGCGGGGCACTTGCTGGCAGGTTAATCTATTACGTCGTGTAGACAAAGCGTCCGACATCAGTTCATTAGGTATAAAGGATTAACCTGTCTATCCCTTAATATTACTTCGTATCCGTTTTAATACTGATTACCATTTTCTGTAGAATTGGATAGCCACCTTACGTCACTTATTTTGATCCAGTTCAAGGGCTGTGATTAATATATGTCCCGATATACAATGTATGTACAAACGACATGACTGGTTGAATCTAACGGTAAATTATACTGTTACAAGGAGTGTTTAAGCTTACTTATGTTGTTGATTTGTGAGAAAAGTCAGGTTTAAGGGAGGTACCAATTCATTGTGTTCTAACTGCTTACAGAATTCAGACTTCTCGGACCGAACACAACTTACCAGAACATGGGAGATGGTGTGCGTGGCTTCAGCAAGTTTTTGTTTGTTTCTTGTTTAACACTGCAGTCAACAATATCCCAACTATATGGCGGCGGTCTGTAAATAATCGCGTCTGGACAAGACAATCCAGCCGTCCA